TCCAGACTTTCTCTGGATCTTCCTTGGACTCTTCCTACACCCAGTCTTCTTCGACTTCCTCGACTCGCGATCTCTTTTCGCTCGAGAAATTTTCTGCGAGAAGAATAGGGCGTCGAATGAACCGCCGTGACAGAGATTAGTCCACGTTCGCAGTTTTGAAGGGAAAAGGTGAAAAAAATGGAAGGGATTATCGAGTCCTATCGAGATCTATCGAGACCAAAGATATCGGGTGGGCTAAACAAACTGAAGGATTCCACTCGGGCGGGGGCTGGATGTAAATAATTAAAGAGGTCCGGCGAAAACAAATATATTGTTTCGCGCAGTGTGATAGATGATGTTGCTTATTCAGCGTCCTGGATGAGGAGAAACGAATGGTAGAGAAGAAGAGCAAGGAGAAGGATCGCGCGAAGCAAGAGGAATAGGAGAGAGGAACGAAAAAGTTTGGATCTCGGTAGGCTTTTAGGAGGTTAGGAGGACCGAGGAGAGGGTTCAAGGGCGTGCTGGACGTTTCGAGGGAAGGATGGCGAGGCAATTAGGAGACTCAGCAGGGTGCCAAAATCTTTGCCCTCTTCCTCGTCCCTCCTTCCTCGTTCAACCACCTCCTACGCCCTGCGTCCTCTACTCTTGCTCCTTTCTCCTTCTTTTCCTAACAATCGCCTCCTCCTTTTCCAGCTGTTTTCTATTTTTTTAATTCAATTCTTCCTTCTTTCGGTCGAATCAGGAAGAATAAGCATTCCTGAACCGCCACCTTTCGATCGACCCAACCCGTGACGCCCTTTTGCGCCCACACCCCTTATTAGTTAATGCCAACGTTATTCTCCAAGACGAGACGAACGCTAATGTCCTTTCCCGAATTACCTGTCGCGTCCGATCGCGATAAACAACCGATATTGGATGTATTTAAGGTTCTCGAGATTCTATCGATGTTTTTAACGCGTTGTCGAGTTTTTAGTATCGTCCGTCCGCTACAGTTGATTTAGTTCATCCAATTTGTTTACACGGATTAACAGACTTACAACACTGGCGCTTGTCGGAATAATTTTAGGAAGACAATTTCGGTTCCTTTCTAGACAACTCGAATCGTACGTATCATTTCCGAATGGGGATTAATTATTTTTCTGATTAAGTGGCAAACCATGGGACACGATGCTCTCCATTTTAAAAAGACCGCTACTAGACAATACTGCCAGTACCATCTAGCGACGAATGCTGAATTATTCGGTCCATAATATCGGGCTACCGAAATGTCGAAGCTGCAGAAACGATCACAGCACGATAAACGCGAATAGCTATGAAACTTCGAAATACCGTCATGCTCCGATATCCACCAAATAGTGCAAATACGCTCTTTTTCCGTGAAAGAAGATATCTGCGAAAATGATTTTTGCCGACTCGAAAGAAAATTCTTTGCCATTCTTATGTCATTCCCTATATCGTCGGCAAGATACAGTGTAGCGTGCGAATTGTTCTGAACACATAATTCGCATCTTCAGACTCGCAGACTATATTGAAGACATTATAAAATCGATATTAATAAATATATCATAAATATATAGCATATTAATCAATAAAATCAATATTAATTGACTTTTTACGAAAATGGAACAGGTGGCGCCATCTCTCCGGCGAATAGGGTGAACTACACGCTTTTGAAACTGCAATTTCGTTAGTTCTAATTTTTTACCGCTAGATGGCGGCACACGAAGCAGGATTGTGATAATCATCAGGGCTGTCGGTCAAGAAGACTTCTGTTATCGAAGCCGTCTGTCAAAGCCGTCGGAAAAAAAGGGAGCTCGTTTGCAAGATTTCGAAAGATCGTTTTTCGAAAATATATAACGAACGATACCGACTGTTTGTAAATATGTTACCTGTAAAACGTGTAATACCAGTATCGGTTGGTATAGTAGACTGCACTGTATTAATTTTAGTTTCATATTTTACCAGCAATACCTCTTCGATAATACGATGATTTCCATCGATATTGTAAATACCGATTGAAACTGTCAACTTTAAGAGAACGAATGGTTCCTCGTTACACGGAAACGATAATTCGTAGTGATATATATATATTTTCTAAGTAAATGTCACGTTTAAAGTATAAAACATAGAACGAATTTCCTAATCATAATACTAGAGTAAAATATTTCGTAGCGATTTATCGTATACCACGTCAGCGGTTTTACTCACGCATATCGAATAATTGATTAGACCCCCGTATTGCATAATTTAATGCAGAGGAAAGAAAAAGCTAATTCCGATATTTCCGAGCAAGCATTCTTATCGAGCATCGATATCGTAGGAAAAAAATCATTCTAAATTATACTCCTGAATGATTAATAGAGGGATCGCCGCTCGACATCGTCTAAAGTTATATCGATACAGCAAATTCCTTTTTGTTTACGTTACCCTGACGACACCGGTGCAAGTCGATTATCCTCGAAACCGCTCTAATTTTCCGAGTTAGTCTAACCGGCGCTAACGGGACGCAAAGAAACGGGACGTTGGACGCGAATCGCAGTTATCTTCCGTATTGGAAGAAAATTTTTCAATAAAATTCTCGATAAAAGATATGGCTACCAGAATGGATATTTGCCGAATGTGCAACCGTGCGCCTCATTCCCACAAAATTCCATTGGAGGAGTCAGGGAGAAAAGAAACGTACACTTTCGTCAAAAGTCCAAGAGCAATTTTGCATATTCATAAAAAATACAGGAACCCACCCACGTAAGTTCATTTAAAATCCCTACCTTTTTCGTAGTATAGATAAGAAAATTGGTAGCGAAAGCGCTAAGAAGTCGAGAGTAAGCGTCGAAGAATCAAACAACGGTCTGTTTCTTGCAAGAAAAAGTTTTTATCGCTTCTCGAGATTGTTTATAAGACGAAAAGTGCTACAACATCGCGAACGATAGCGTATTATTCTGTGAAACGAACGATCGTTTTAACTACCGGTTAAGAAGCGAAAAGTTAAGTCGATCAACTACCACACTTTACTGATCTCGATTATAAGTTTCGTGCAAATAATCGATAAATATTATATGACTTAATAGCGAAACGGTATTTGGATCTACTATGGACGTACATTCGTATATGTACTTACACCTCGTTATATTGTCGCGGACGTAACAGGAAACAGGCGGTACGTTCTTAAAGTTGGCAATGTATCGAGTTGACCTATCGATTATATGAAATTTTCTTGTTGAATATAACACCGGTGTCCTTGGATCTACACACGCGATAACGCGTGACCACGTACGAAGCATGGCGATACAGTGCGTAGCGACACAACGCGTTACGATAGTTTCATAGGCTCGATTCTTGATACACGCTCTACGTTCATACAATTTTTACTGCCTTCCGTGTGTCAAGAATCCTTACACAGAGTCATGTTACTGTACAATAATAACCTTAATGCGCGGTCTTTTAATATGTTCAACGATTTTTATAGTACGCGAATGAAACTCTGGTCAATGTCATAGCTGGTGTACACCGTGCGATAAGCGGTCGTCGAAAGCATATGCTTTCGCACAACCACCGTATACGCTATCGGCCAGTTGAGTGAACTCTGAACGAAAGATTTTTAAGACGGTACTAACAGAGACTTTCCCTACTTTTTTCCCCCATGATAAATAAGCATCGATGTTGAAGGGTATAGAACGCAACACGCGAGCAATTTCGCGAGAATGTTTCACGCCAACGATATAAAAATCTATATTTCATTCTCCTGAAGGACATCCGCGGTACGATTCGAAACGAAGAATAAAACGTCGAAATATATGTATAATTACACCGGTTGTCGAAACAGCGCGAAGAAACGTGATCGGTTATCGATCGTACACGATGATCAAGCAGGAAGCAATGGACAAGATTCGAGGACGCGATTAAAGAAAATTAGTAAGCATTAGTTCGTGGCGAGAAGTCGGCAGAGAAGAAGAGGGTAGGAAAGGCGAGCGCGAGAAACGATCGGTGAAACGTTTCACCTTGAAGACGTTCGACGGAGGGGGTCAACCGCGTGCTCAGGCACAACTTCCCCTGTCCCGCTGTTCAACGATACGCGAACGGACATACGTGGTCATAGCTACCACCGATTTCGAACCCTTTTGCATCACTTAGGCATGCGCAAAGTTCACGTTGGTCAACGTTATTGAGTGGCCGCTGGGTAAAAATATATGCGTGGCCCGTGTCTACGGTCTATGTCGGTCGATTCTAAGGACATTGTCCAGTCTGTGAACTCGCGAGCGGCGTTGCGAGCCGGTTAGTAATGCCGTGGAGATCGCGCGAGCCTCGTCGTCGCGCCGCGAACGCGTTTCTTCGCGATCTTTTTCTTTACCGTTCAAATAAACTACTCTCATCTTTCAACGTTCGCTAACCCGATCGGTGAAAATTTGATAAAACGTGTACGCGTTATAAACGGCACTGGATATTTCCATCGTATGAATGGCTACATTCGCTTGTTTTTGTACTTGAATCTTGAAGCTCTTTCTTTTTATTGGAAGTAACAATATCTTTACAAGGATTGTTTTGAAAAAATTTTGCCAAAACGAAAGTTTGCTACCGAATCGGTGGCACGTTCGTCTGATCTTGAATGGACCATTGCTACTTCGAGAGGTTCGATCCTTTCGGCACCGTAATCTCTTCTATCCCTGACACTTTTCAACATTTTCAACGAGTCTAACATTTCCTTATACTTATACATTTTGATAACTTCCAAGATAAGCGTTTACAATGTTAGATCATTGTAGATCGAGATAATTATAGATCGTGACATTTTTTCCCGCGTAAGTAATTAGAAATACCAAATGAAAAATGTTAGGAGTTCGAAATAACGAAGACATCGAAATAAAACGAGCGTAAACTAATGACTGACGTAATAAAATTTACTTAAAATAAAAGCGAAACTTTGAATGGATTTAGTCTGGAAAGCGTCAAACCGAAAGAAGGCTGGCGAGTGAAAAATGCAGGCGAAAAAAATTTTCTTCGAGATCCATTGAAGAGAAAGCAGCATGCCTGCCGGAATCGGTAGCTGCGCGATGGCGCCAACGAGCAACGGAAATCCTTTCGAACGCGAACAAAAGGATCATCCGGCGTTTACGATTCTCCAGAAAGACGGTCTGGACACGAGTCTGCCACTACTGCACGTGAACGGCGACGAGTCGATTCGATCGGACGTCCACGGATTCGAGAACGGCAAGAACAATCTGTTCGATCGAAGACGAAGAAGCAGATCGAACGATCATCTTCTTCAAGCAGCTCTCCAAAGCAATCAGGCGAATCCACTGAAGAAGAAAGCTAGAAGCAGAAGTCAGGACAGTTCGCGTTCGTTGGAAAAGGTTCCGGTAATCAAACCGAGCATCACCTTGTCCACCGAAAATTTCAACGAAGTTCTGAACGCGAAATTGAAGAAACTGCAAGAACAGGAGAAGCAAGAACAACGAAAGAACGCGAAGAGGAACGAGAACGTTGGCAGGAAACCGTTCATCAGTACCGTGAAAACGGGGGAATTTCTGATGCCACCACCGGAAGTAGCGGCTCTACTTGGCATCGCACCACCCACCAACGGTACCAACGAAATCGACGTTTGCCCTTTGCGGTCGAGATTTAAAACCCTCGTGTCGCTGGCCAGAAAACCGGAAGTACGTCACAACAGCCACAATGCCAGGTGTCCGGCCGCGCTCAAGGCCACAGTCGACTACACCCTTGGAATGATGAACGCGACCACCATCGCTGCATCGACCTTGGACGACAGGCTGAAAACGATGAAGAGAAACGACGCGACGTAAGTTACGGAGTTCCGTAACTTGCTCGAAACGTTGTTCCAATTTCTCGAATAAATTGTTCTTTTCGAAATCGACGGGATGTTATTCCGCGTATTCGTTACGAATTACGACGCGAAACGATCGATTTTCCTCCGATAATAGCTTTTACTAGCGAACTCGTTTGCGGCAGCTCAAAACATAATGTTTTAAATTTCGGACGAACGAATAGAGGGTTAATCGTTTTGTTGCGTGCGCGAAACGGTAGCTGGCAATTATCGGATGAGATTGCGTACGGCCAGATTGTAACTTTACTGGTACGAGCGAAAAACAATTTTTCGACGGTTGCTTCAAAATTTTCTCGCGATAATCGTTTCTCGTTCGTCTAAAATTTTCATTGTTTTTGCAGCGATCAACCGGTTCCCTTTGGGAATATCATGTTTGATCGTCGGGTCGTTCGCGGAAGTACCTACGCCACTGCCCCTATCCTCGTAAGTAACAGAAACTTAAGTTAAACGCGTTAACTATTGATTTTCAATGTTAATTACTTCGAGAAAATAAACCTGTCCCTAGTGGAGGGAAGTAAACTTCCCTCGATTAAGAGAGTGGTCAAGTTCAGAATCTTCTGTGAACGCGGTTCAATTAGTTGTTTTTCGTAGATCGATGGAGAACAATCGACAGCAGCCAGACAAGCGGAAGCTAGGAGAAGGAACTTGACGAGGAAACGAGCACAAGCTCAAGCCACGAAAGCACTCGTCCTTAGAAAGGGTTCGCCACCTCCGGTTGCTGGTCGCAAACACGAGCCGGTGCAAACGGATCTCTTTCTCGAAGAGGTGACGTATTCTCTTCGATGTTATATACTTATATGCTTTCGATAAATACGCAGGATCGAAAGATTAATAAGAGGAAAAATGCTATTTGACCAGCTATCGGAGAAGCCGGACGAATCCGAAGTCGCGACACAAACCGATTACTTCTTGGATAGACCTCCAACCCCGCAACCCTGCCCGCAGAAGGTTGGCGAAGATGTTAGCACGCAAATTGAACCCGGCGATGTGAGTCCGAAAAAATAAAGTGTGTCGTCACTTTGTTTGAAAATATACGAGAAAGCTTTTTTTAGCTGTTCGACTTCGACTACGAAGTGCAACCGATCCTCGAGGTACTCGTTGGAAAGACGATGGAACAGGCATTGATCGAGGTACTGGAAGAAGAAGAAGTTGCTGCTCTGAAGGAACAACAAAGGAAATTCTTAGAGCTTCGAGCCGCGGAAAAAGCGGAAGCTCGAAGATTGGAAGAACAAGAAAGAAGAGTAAGGGAAGAAAAGGTACGCATTATCCTTGAACTAACTCGTAAACGTTCGTCCGAGCGTACAACTGTTTTATAATTGATTGACCGATCTACAGGATCAACGATTAAGGCAACACGAGAAAGCAATGGTAGCTGAAAAGGAAACGGAAGAACGTATCGCGGCAGCGACTCTTTTAACAGGATACATTGCAGAACTTTTGCCAGCGGTTCTAGAAGGATTGAAAATGTCTGGATTCCTATTGGACGAGATCAAGGCTGGTTCGTGAACTCGCAAGAACACTGCTACTTTTTGTGAATTAGTTAGTCAGAAAGGTTTATCGATTATTCTTTGTTTTATATCATTTAATTGGACCTTTTCAACTATCCTTTACGCAACCATCTTTTTGCTCGGAAACGTGCTTGTAAGGAAACGATGGTTGTAATTTCGTTGTTCGTACAGTTTTCGAATTAAACGATGCAAACGAAATCGAATATAGATAATTAATAGATAATTAATAGATAATTAAAAATGTTCTGTTTTTAGATTAATTCGAAATAGTTAAAAAGAGCCATTTAAGTGACTGCTTTTTTCATTGCGATTCGTTTTACGATGCGAGTTAGAAAATTGCTAGAAATTCGTAAGAAACTTGAAATATGTTTTTCTTGCGTAGATGTCGAGGAAGGTTTCGTTCCCTGGTTAATGAAAGAGGTGAAAAAGGAGATGGGCAACATGATCGAGAGTAGAGAACTTCTCATGGGTGAGCAGCGATCTGTACTGCGTGTAATAATAAATAAACGAACAAAATATAGTGGATTCCACGAGCTAATTTTCTGTATAACGTTTTAGAAATCGTGAGGGAGATTCTGGAGAGTCGTGCAGAAACTTATAAAAAGCTTGGCGAAGAATACGATGCGTCGAGGATAAGGAAACCGTCGATAGAACATATAGAAGATGGAGGTATCGACCGAAATTTCGTGGATTATCAACCACCAGCTATCGAAAACACGGACGTCGTTGAAAGAGTCGATTAGTCGAAACACTCTGGTACGTGAAATTATAAGAATCAACTTTCTTTCGATTACTTTTTCGAACTCGTACTAAAAAATTATAAATACTCGCTAAAGAATTTTCAACGATATAAGCGAATATAAAAGTCCTCCGGTTTAACAACGAGTCAATTCCTCCTTCTCGATTAACAGGTTAAATCGTCATTATTTCCTTTCTTTCTTTTTTTGCTAGCGACCGATTGAACCGTTCGTTTACCAAGGTTTTAACGCTCGTTGATCTTCGAACGCGCAAACGAGCGTATCATAGTTAGCTTTCGGATTTTGGGACACCTTCACCAGTGTCGGTGGAGCAATCCCCGGTTCTACTAGCTCCTACATTAAGCAGTGTACACAGCTGCGAAACAAATCCATCTCCTAGAGTCGCGCCCCTGTGACAGGTCACCGCGTTTGCGATCCCTATGGCAAACACCAACTACCACCATCACCGTACCGTGTCTCGCACAAAAATCCATTAGAAATTAATTATCGATTTTCTTTGACTCTGATCGAAAAATAAATTATCTCGTTCGCGCGACCATGTTGAACCGTTCAGTAATGGAAGAATTAATCAACGGTTGTTCTTCGTATATTTGCAGATCCGTTTGAAATCGAGGAAAAAAACAAGGCAAATGAAAAGGAACGATCGAAGCCAAGGAAGGAATTCTCTAACGAACGATAGTATTCCATGCAAACCTTCGAAGTAATTCCAAATAAATGAAATTGTTTAATATTCTTGTTCGATACTTTTTTCCCTTCCCTTATGTATATTTTCTTTCGTCATAAATTATACGATCCGAGGAAAAACTAACGCTTCGGACCAAGTTAGACGGAATTAAGATATTTGTGCTCGATGGTGGTGGGTAACTCGTCTTCGTTGGTTTATCTTTTGGAGGTGCAGTACACGCAACAACAGCTGAAGTGACACTAGAGAGATCGAAAATACAAATCGGTCGCTAAAATTGTCGAACGTTGTTTTACTTTCCCCATCAGTGTCTGTTATTTCGGCTTAGAAGAATCCGCGGTTCAGGAAAAACGAACACGCGACTCGTACTCGTAACGATATCCTATCAAAATTTCGAACGAAGAAGAAGAATCTCGATACTCGGAGAAGAAGAAGTGTCGATACTAAGAACTGAAATGTTGGCAACTTGTAAAATTTTTCGGAAAATTCGTTGAAAGGTAAAATGGTAAAGCAATTAAAGAAGTATAATAAAGATTTTTCGCGATGCAGGTGAAGATAAAAAGGTATAGAAGCTTCTGAATCATAGATTCCCGTAAATAAGTTTCGGCGACGAACGGCCTGTAAAGCAGTAAAGTCTGGCGTCGCCAATACTCGCCTACCATGCTGTTAGGTCGGTTCGAACTTGTATATACCTGTCCTATCTATAATATTTAAAAATGCAACTCCAAATTGCCTAGAAAACTTTCGCGAACGGACGAGCATTCGACCGATTAATGGAGTATACCAGCCTGAGGTCAAATTATATTTCGGTATAGAAATTAAAATGAAAATTGTTAGAAAATTACGAAGTTATCGATAGTTTGATAGTGCTGGAAAAAGAAAATTCGAATAAACTACGAAGAATAAAGGTAACGCAAAAATAGGATAACATAGAAGAATAAAAGATTCGATAACATTCATCGCGAAAAATAGATAAACTTCGTCGGTACACCGCGAAAGTAAAAAACCTGTCCAGCCCAATCAGGATTAGATCGATCATAATAGGATAAGGTTTCACGGTGAATCGAGATCGGTACAGTTTTAAAAAGCCACCCACCCTCTTAAACGCAGCCCTTTCAATGGTGAACGACAAGGCGAAGGGGGAAGGGGAGCCATATTGTATTGGATTAAATTAAGCGGGAGGTTCATCCCGATACCGTTCATATTATATGCACGAAACTTGTGTGCCAAGTGAGTCGTGTTTTTTGGGGAGATTCGAGAAGGGGTACGGAGGTGGGTCCTGATCGGTCGCAAAGAGGGTGTCTGCGTTATTTTATCATGTGATCCGTGTCACCTGCATCTCTGCGTGATTTTCTTTCTCAATATGGACAACTTGATTGTAAGATTGCAAAATGGTCTTTCTATTCTGCTCTCTATACATACGTATATGCAAACGTAAAGATGATAAAACATAAATTAATTGCAAGTTCTTGAAGTAGAGACAATAGAAAGGACCAAATAACCTAATAATTATTTATGTAATTAAACGTACCGTAACAATAAATGAATGATGAAAATTTGACTCGATGTCTGGTTCGCGTTGGCAACCAAGTAATAATATCTTGCCTATTAACTGGACGTTTGTTCACGGTAACTCGTAGAATTGACTGCTAAAATCAAGTAAACAGTAGCTAATGGTTAAATAGGAATTGGAGTACGGGATGCACCGTCCTCTGCTACGGCGTTATGGCGTATTCAAGTGGCACGTGTCGCGTTACACGGTACTCGGTTTCGAGAGACACGGGCAATATGTCGACGGCACGTGATCCCAACGAATAAATTTTTCACCGTAGAAAGATTAATCCCTCTCAAGATATCGGGCATCGAATTCAAGAGATACACGCGCCTGAAGAGACTAAACAACAGGTTAAACATGTTGCAAAAATTTCCGGCGTAAAGGCAAATTGAAATAAACATAACTTTAATTACGATTAGAAATAATAAGAAATTAAGTAGAAATTGTATCGTATAATTAAATTCACAAGTATCCTTGATAAATATTAATAATGCATAAGCCAGTGTCTCGTTGGAAGAGCCATTAGGGGTAAACTTTTGACACTTGCAGAACCGAGACGAATCACCTTTATGGTCAACTCCCCGCAAAGGCGACCATAATTCAGACTCTACCCCGCAGCATCCAGGGTGGTTACGTGTTATGTAGAATCTCGTAAAAGGGCACCAAACAATAAGATTTGTTACGTCGGTGAATATCGAAGGGGTCTAAGTCTGCTTAAATTCGAAAACCGGAAGGCTCGTACTTTGCTGTCGAACGATCAAACGATCGACCGCTTTCGTAATGGAATTGTTGCTTCGCCGACGCGTTCGTTGCCGTTGGTTCGTGTACCGATCGTAAGCGGTAAAATTTATAAAATAGAAAATGAAACGCTTGTAACGCGTCTCGAGAGGTATTTCTCTCTTTTATCTCAAAAGGATAATTGGTAAGAAAGTTTATTCGCGGTACGAGTGTACAGGGCATGAGCGAACAAGCGAAAAAGAGGGTGTTTCTTCTTTGACTTATTTTGAGCGACGCAGGCGGGACGAGCGATAATACGTAGATGATAATCGCGATATTAATATCGCATTGGGAAGCGCGCACATGCGTGCAAGGGCCCATTGGTCACGGCGGAACACTTGCTCGCTAGCTGGCCCGCGCCGCGGTTCTTTCAATGCACCCCGGTTTTAGAAAGAGACAAGCGGGGGGTGCAACCCCAACCCGGGATGCGGGCAAAAACCAAAATTTATCCGAGAGTTGTGGCCAGATAAGCATTTCCTCTCGCGTCGAATTAAATGTTTGCTATCAGAATAGCCTATGACTAAAGTTACAAAAAATATTTTAAATCAGAGATATATATTCCCGAGAGCGGAACTATAGGTGCAGAAATTTGCCAAACTCTCAGAGTGTCAAGATTCTATATAAATCCCAAAATCGCGAAGTTAGAATGGTCAAAATTCGTAGTGTCCAAAATTTGATTTCCGTAGAACCGATTGACTTCGTAGAAACATTTAAAGGACTCCTTAGCGGATAAGATTTCTACAAAGGATTCTAAAGTAATAAGAATATTTTCGCGGTACATAAATAAGGAAAAAATAACAAGACTGTTGATAAATTAGGAAAAAAATCCAATTGTTGTTTACCAGCGACGAAGCGCGCGACGGGGCTACCGAACACTTGCCGCAAGTTGCTTGGATAGGTAGGACAGAGAGCAAGAAACTCGATGCTCGAGTTTCGAGGGACCAGAAGAGGGATTGGTGCAGGGGATGGTTGCAGCTTGTGAACACTCGTGTCATTCCCTGGTCCGGCACCATTCACCCCCAGATGAATCACATCACCCGTAGAGGATCCACCAAGAAGAACCATACCCTTTCTCTGTTTCTCTTTTACGATCGCAAATATCTCTATAACTAATCTCCAGACTATATTCCATCGAAATGTTAATTTAGAAGATTTCAATAAAATACCTGGACTAAGTGCATCGTAGGAACGCCGTTAAACTTTATCTCGGTCGAACGCGCACGATCTCCACTAATACCAAACTAAATCCTCGGAATAACGTTAAAAGTCTTTAAACCAGAATTAGATAAAGATCAGTGTATTAAGAAGCTGGAGTATCGTTATAGAAGGAATAGTCGGTTGGTACTAGCAATTAGCGTAGGATACCTGTAACTGCGTAACCGTGATATCTACGGACCAAAGTATTAGGCGAGTCATTAAGGTAGGAAAGAGAATTTTCCAGTCTCTTTCACTATTTTCAGGTATATATTACCGTCGCGTCGCATCGCACGAAAAGAAGAACAATACCAGAAAATTGTCGGCGTGAGTTCGATCACGTACTCGTAATTCGCATGTTTAAACGATTATTATTCCAAAGTATAGCTTCAAATGATCGGAATTGAGAAATTTTTAAATCCGAAACTTACTTTCATAAATAAATATTAATTTATATCGAACTAATTCGATTATCTTCTTCTTATACGGTTGTTCTTATTTTGTCAACAAATGTATACTTGCTGCAAGAAAATGTTGATTTTACTCTTCGATACTATCCCGCGACAGGTTAACTATATGGTAATTTCCGTTGAAAGAAACAACTAAAAGACATAAGGATCTACTCGTGTCGTCCGCCGAAATGAATCGAAATCGGAACTTTTGGTAGATCGAGGGAGAATCGAGATCGACGAACGATTAGACAAATCCAAGCACGATATCGCGCGATCGCGATCTACGCACGCTTGCGAGAAGCTTGCGAGAAGAATGAGCCACTTAATTTCCTAATCAACCGTTGATTCAGATGCACCTTTCGTCAGGATCCCTCGTCCTCGACGGGATACGCATTGGTTTGCAGCTGAGCCAAACAATGTCCTTTCACATGAGGCTTTTATAGCCCTATCAAACACGCTTCCAGCCACCGTAGCCACTCCTGGTGACGCTCCACGACCTAACATCGTTAAAACTTTCAATAAGAAATAGACGTCTCTGCGCTTTTTAAACGCGTTCGCGGACGAAGAGGCGGAGCACAACGTAGAATTTCGCTAATAAACAGAAATAGTCTCTAACTCTTGGTTAGTCTTTTTCTAGCGAATGCCATCTTTTCAAAGTACCAAATTTGAACGTGAATTTTTCATGACATTGTCAATTTGAAGCGACAGTAATCGTAGTAATCGCGCGATTAAATTACAAAGAATCAAGATATCGGCCTAGGCGAAAGTAATAAAAATTACAAAAGAAATTAATGGAATAGAGGTAAGTAGAATGCGAGGTACCTGTGCCCCTTCAATAAATTACGTTACGCTTGAGCAGTCATGAACGAAAAGCCGAATCGTAGACGGAAAGTATATAATATAGGCCAGACAATCTGGCGCCAACCGAGACAAGTTTTCAATATTATAGTATCAGTGGCACCTTACCTTATTTATCCTTTTCAGGAATACAATGCGGTGCTCATGCATCCGTAACGTCGGCTTTGTACCTGCAAGCGACCTAGGTGTATTAGCGGTCACTTTCTTCGGTACTCCTCGAGAACGGTTTTATTTCCAAGATCGTCCTACCTTCGAGGGTAGTAAAGTAATCTATGCGCAACGAAGTTCTGGTTGACTGATTTTTAACCGAATTCGTCATATTCATAATGGTGAATCTCCAGGTATCGATTAGTACTGCGAAAATTTTCATAGTTCAACGAACACAAGCTTTTTGTATAATAAACCGACATTGAAACTGTTACTTTCCACGCGTAAAAGAGTTAACGGTAAACTGGGGCAAACGTGACTTTTGCAATGTACTCGAAAACAGAAAGATTTTGCCAGCTACCAACGTACGTTCGTTAGAACGAAACGCGAACGTTTCGTCTTCGACTCTCATAAAATACGACTTTATTTTTAATATTCACAAAACCAACATGATCCAGTAGTAGATGAAAAAATTTATTTCCTATCTTGAATCGTCTATTCAAGTGTCGTGCAATCGTGTAGTGGAAGATTTTTTCGAAGATGTAGGAAACGATGCCATTTTGCTCTTTATGAAATCGAAGTCGAAACTTTCTTCAATAAATATCTATAAGTATCTATAAATACGTTTTTCTTACCTTTTATATGCTGCAAGAAAGTGATTTTTACAATTATCTAACATATCGCGAATATAATTCCTCGAAGACAGCTTTTTCTCGCTTGATCACATTTCAAAAAACATAAATCGTGATCTTATAATCGAACGAACAAAATTGAAACGAAAATTCTTGAATCCATTTAACGCGAATAAACATATGGACGGCGAGTAAGATCGAAAAGATGCATCGTTGCACCTTGCGCTAGATGGTCGGTAGGTGGTCAGAAAGCTCCCCTCCGAATCTTCTGAATGAACCACAACATCCCCACCGTTTGTAAGGATGGCGCATCAGGATTCGAGAATCGCAAGCACGGGGCCGAGTCACCCCCGAACCGTCTCTTTAAATACAATTACACAAACACTGGCTATGGAAAGAATCGGGGGTGCGACCATCGCGGGTAGAAGGGGAACCAAACCCCACAGTCAATTCGGGGCACAAGCCCTCCAAATATATTTAAGCCACGTGCGGAATGCAGGTCACATTCAGTTAACACCTTGACATCGCATCATCGTAGTCCACTGAGATTTTAATATTCCTGGAGTACAAGTTTCCGATAATTTCGGTGATACAGTGATAATCGATAGACGTTTCTTCGAGTCATCGTTGTCGAGAAAGTTTTTCGTGCGCTCATTATTCCGTGAGCAAATACGCGACGCTTTGAAAAAGCGATCAGCACGTTTAGTATGCTGAAAAATATTTGACGCGGATTATTGGAGACGCACAAATGGAACCAACGAACGCGATCATGTACCCGCTCCTGACGGATAACGCGCTGATGATGAGTATCGAGACGCTCGAGAGAACGTCCCAAGCATGCTTGGATATGCCGCCAATAGTCAGAGCCGCCGGTGTTCTGGCAAGAGACTCTTCGACCGAAATCATCGACGTGAACAAGCTGAGTCAGAAAAGTACATCGATGATTCGTTACGTACGTGTAATTCGTATCGTTTGTAATCCTGTTAACGCGTTAACTGTCGTCTATGTTCTTAACTATTCTGATAATGGTAACGGTAGTGAACTAACGAAATTTTCCTGGTTCGATCGTAGGTGGAAGTCGCTGATGAAGGTGGTCGATTATACTGCGTGGACGGTATGGTGAACACATCCTGTTGGTTGAAGATCGTCTCGTTCGCCAAAGATTGTCAGAGCTGTAATGTAGTCCTGATGACCACCGAAAAAGGAGTAACGCTAAAAACGATAAAAACCATTTCACCGGGTGAACCTTTACTGATGTGGTTCACCGAAAACGTCCTAGCGATGATGAACATGCCCTTCCTGACACCGTGCAACATTCAAGGTAAATCGAAATTCAAAACAGACAAAATCTATCTTCGTACCAAAGATTCCAACGTTTCCGTTTCGATGAAATTTTAAAGATCGAATCGATACCGAAAGTGCTATTTTGCGATGCTTATATGTTACCAAATCGTTTAAGACTTCCTAAATTGATCTTAATTTCGCGGTGGATCGTTATCGAGTCGTAGATCGCGTGAAATAAATGAAATTTTTATCGATTTCAGGTCAAAATCGCTACATCTGTCACATGTGCGATAATCTGTTCGAGTATCCAAATCCTTTGAAGATTCATCTAGCTCTAAAGTGCAATCGACTGGAGACTAATCATCTTTGGTCCCTGCTAGCGAAAGAGTTCAGTTTATCGCCGAGAACCAACCTGTCTTTCAACTTGTTCCCACAGTCGACTTTCAGATTCGAACTAACCAACTCATCGCGGTCCTCGTCCACCAGGATATCGCCGATCCTGGTGGAAACCATGGACTCTAGTATCTCTCTGACGAATAACTCTCCGACGTCCTCCAACCAACAATCGCCGTCGTCTTCGAATCAGCCCTCGCCCACGCAGATATCCCCGAGCTCCTCTACTCAAGTTTCTCCCGTGACGAACGATTTGAGCTATAGGCACTCCGCCTTCAAACCGTACACGAATCAGGCCAACGTGTTCACCGCGGTTTGCCCGTTGAACAGAGACGAGACCGTTTTGTCGACGTACAACGTACAAACGACTGCGCCGTCGATTCCTACCGAGGTAAATGCTGCACAAATGGAAACGATAGTCAGCAATCTTGGAAAATCGAAACAAGGACACCTGTGCATCTATTGCGGAAAAGTCTACTCGAGGAAATACGGCTTGAAAATACACATAAGGTTAGTAATAAAAATTCCTTTAATTTTTACCATCTGGATTTCGCGAATCGAATATTTTGAAATTTACGCTCGTTATGTTTTATCTTTGCAGAACCCACACTGGCTACAAACCACTCAAATGCAAGTATTGCCTGCGACCATTTGGTGACCCAAGCAATTTAAACAAGCACGTTAGATTGCACGCGGATGGAGAAACTCCCTACAGGTGCGAATTGTGCGGAAAAGTGTTGGTCAGAAGGAGAGATCTTGAAAGGCATGTTAGATCGAGGCATCAAGAAAACGTCGAACAAACTTCCGACACGTCGTCGGACGGAATCGACGTTTAATAAAAGCAAAAATGATGTTACGAGTTAACCAGTTAGCTGTTTTTAAATAGCATGAAGAAATAGTAATTGCTGAAATGAAACAGCTAACTGGTTAAACACGAAACAGACATTTTTGCGAAATGCTCTCTCGCTTGATTTGTATTGACGGCAAATCGTTTTATTCGCGGGTAACGAATTCGTTCGCGAACGCGAGCTTCGTTTGTAATAATGTACATTTGCATCAATTAATATTTATAAGTATTATTTTTTTTAGTTAGTAGTCTTAGTAAACTTGTAAATATCTAGTTAGTGTACATAATTTCCACGAATCCGGTGATCAGGACGCGATACATGAATACGCGTAAAAAAGCTACAGCCCTCGGTTATTTTTCCAGTATTTATCGAATATAATTCAATTAATTTTCTAATACTGGTAATAATATTTTATAATACGGTAAAAACAATAAACGTTTATCGTAAATAAAAGGAAAAGGCGATGAAATAATGTAAATTACACTAGGCTGTAGGTGTACTGACCATCGATGTAATAACGATTTGATATAGTACAAATTCTATTTAGGAAATTTACAAATTTTTACGCATTCGTATGCTACAATCAAGGTTATTGTTATTTTTGTACATAGTCGAAATATTGAAATAAAACTGTTATTCTATATACAATACACTGACTTCTCAATCTCTATTTTCTACTCTTGCTTTCAAACTAAACCATTCGCTAAAAATAAATTATTGCATAATGATAATTTTCACTTCTAATTAAAAGCACAGATTTTTCACCGCTAGATCTGCCAATTATGTAATTGACTTGTATAAAAAATTCTCAATTTCAATTTAAACAGATCACTGACACGGTTACGTGTATAAACACGGACAATTCGATTTTCGTTTACTGCACGATTCGAACCTTTAGCAACTTCAAATTCAGCCAGCGAATGTTCTTAACCTGCTAGGTCAATTTATCGACGGACTTTGATTCGTTCGGGTCCACTCAGCTGGTGACAATTTAATACAGAATTTGTGCAGTCGCTGCGTCTATTTATTTTAAATTCAAGTAGAATAAGTCGTTACTAAACATCCCAATAACAGCGCCATCCTACGAGTAAAATAGAAACTGTTTTGTCGTCTGCTCTACAACGGAATCCATATTCGTATTCGGCTGTCTCTAATAGCTGATGTTACTTTCTGCTTATATCTGTGATATTTGCTATAACGTTCATTTCTGCAAGAAATATATTTAAATAAACACCCGGTGAGTTTATTGAACTTGTAGTTGCGAGAAATATACGATTTCTACAGTTATTCGTTTGTATATTTCATTTTCCTAACACACATATATGATTCGAATGTGTGATGTAACCATTTCTCTCTGTCTTTAATTAATAAAATTTCATAAATAAAATTTTATTACAGCACTTTAAAAATGGCAACTCTTTCACGTAATTTGCGACCTTATTTAAGATATATTCGTAACCAAAGAAGAACGTACGCCGATGCCCCTGGAGATCAAATGAAATTCACTTTTGCTGGAGCTAATCAAGTATATAGATGGATACTTTGATTTATGTAAGCACGCTTTAGAACTGAACTTTTATAAATTATGAAATTATTGTTATAGGTATTTTATGACCAAGCTGTGGTGAAACAAATAGATGTGCCATCATTTTCTGGTTCCTTTGGTATTTTACCTAAGCATGTACCCACGCTAGCTGTATTAAAACCAGGTGTAGTTACGGTGTACGAAGAGGGAGGAGCAACTAAAAAAATTTTTGTTTCCTCGGGAACAGTTACTATAAATGAAAATAATAGTGTACAGGTATAATACTGTTTAAATAACGAGTAACAGAAATACCAAATATTTCCTAAGATTTTTCTACCTTCGTTAATACACGAATACCATGTAATAGGTTTTGGCAGAAGAAGCCCATCCTGTAGAAAATATTGATAACTCTGCAGCCAGAGATATTCTTAGCAAAGCTCAACAACAGTTATCATCTGCGTCGTCTGAAAAAGACAGAGCTGAAGCAGCTATTGCGGTCGAAGTAGCAGAAGCTTTAGTACAAGCTGCGCAATAAGCAGTCTTTAAATGTTACAACATTATTCTACATGTTATTGAACTTTAGGTCATGTATTCATCACATTTCTGTCACAATCCTGTATAAACATACAGTAACAATAAAAGGATTATTAAATTACAAATATGTATATATTTTATATATGTAACTGATCTTATTACGGAAAGTAAATGACAACAAAATGTAACATTATACAATAATTTATTGTATGTTAGTCAAATTTTACTTAGTTTTAACACAAATTCTTTTGTCTAAAATCTATTTAGGTACATTCATTTTATTGCTTTTAACAAGTACTTATTACAGCCACAACTTCGACAATAAAAATCTACAAGTATTACATCATTCTGTTACCTAGTTTCAGTTCTTTAAAAGGTGCCAAAATGCGTGTAATAATTATTTAGTGTCACAATTTAATTTTAATTTAGTTTCGAAAATACTTCATTATTTGACACGTTGCATTCCTTTTCTAAATATCGTACATTAGAAAACAGCTACTAAACAATAAATATTTTTCATTTTTCCCTGTTAATATATTACGTACACACAATCGATGATTTTTATAAATTTAACATAAATTGGTATAAACGTCATTAATTTACAAAACTTCCAATAACCATCGGCTATGTGTAAAAAGATAATATATACTACATAATATTTGTACATTAAAAGATATATTCGTCTACTTAAAATACAGATATCAAAGGCATTTTTTTATAAAACATATTTCGATGCTTACAATCGACTTTATGAAGGTCCGATACTTTGAATGTTAACATATCGTAACTATTATTTTTTAATATAGAGACCTTACTATTCTTTGATACGTGTAAATAATAGAGCTCTTTTCTTCTAAAAACTATGCGACAACAATGTTGTGTACTTAACAGTTTTAAGTAAAAAAAGGTACGAATATATTGGCACACGTTAAGATACAGCATAATATATTGCATCTGTATAAAGTCTCTTGAAATATGGTATCGCTATGTACTAGAACTGTACTTTTATGAGATACCCGGGTAGGCAAAAATTACCCGGATACCTGTAAGACACCTGCATATAAGATACAGTTAAGAATTTAAATTGGGAAAACAATATTCCATTGATATAGCTAATAAGTATTAAATTATTTATAGATTATTCCTTCTATTATCGATATTTATCGATAATAACTACACGATAATTGACTTCCCAATAAAAATTCTCAATTATCTCATGCAACATATGATAGTACGGGTATCTCGCAAATACCTGAATTCCCGGATATGTCACATACCCGATCAAAATTAATAAGCTTACTATACATCGTTCTATACTTTCGATTTATCTTAGATAATAATTTTTAAAATCAATATTTATACCAAAAATCGCGTTTAAAGCTAAGTGAATTAATCTATGCATTACGATAAATAACAAGTTCTTATTAGACATTTGTGCAAAAATATGCTTTTTTCGACATGACTAGACACACGATAAAACGCTTGTTTCAGTGATTGTTCGCTAATGGGCATTTCATTAATGAAGGTACTAATTTTTCGCTGCAACACGTTAGAGTACTAGTACTTTTACAACAAGTAAGACTGAATACTTTTTGCAATTGTTCCAATGTTTTTAAACAAATAACGACGCAGCAAGATCCACGATTCGTAGGCTCACTGTCACAAAAGCATTCTTCTTGTAAACAATGTACAAAATCATCTACTACTTTTGATGACATGTTCGTTTTATTAACATTCGTAGTTGTATTGTTTATATTTGTCGTTGTATTGTTTATATTTGTAGTTGTATTGTTTATATTTGTAGTTGTATTGTTTATATTTGTATTTGTATTGTTTATATTTGTATTTGTATTTGTATTTGTATTATTTGAGCAATTTTGGCAGTTTTGTAGATCATTGCATTTACAATCAACGCATTTGCATATGTCTGCTTCGGCTGTGATTTCCTGTAAAACGTTTCTACACTTCTTCGGCTTTGTACTATTTTTTTTTTGTTTATCACCAACACATTGCTGTGTAATTTCAACATTTTCAACATCTACTAGATTAACATTATCTAACTGTTGTAACGACTGCAATTGACTTTCTATCTGCAATGGATAAGGCTCTGGTTCAACTAAATCGACTAACGAATGGACCGCTGTTGGAAAAGCATTCAATTCCGACCAAGACTGCCGTCTCAAAGAAGATGGTGTTGCCAGTGTCGTAACATCTATCCAAGGAGATGGTATTTCCTCCTCGGATGCTATAGCTAATTCAATAGCTTCCGATTGGGTTGTTGCGACTACATTAGAGTTCAGTGAATGCTCAACTTCGTTAAGAGACCCAGTTCGTAACGTGTCAGTGATAAATGGTTCTATCTCATTATCGAAAAGTTGAGTTTCACTAGAGGAACTTATTATATCTGATACGTGACTAGTTATAGAATTGGTATTATACAAAATTACGTTACTATTTTCTACAGCTGCTCTATTATTATTATTATTATAAGATTTTTCAGTAACAATCGTACGATTTTCATGCTGCTGTACATCGCTTGTAAAATCTGTTCCTTCTGAAATATGAGCAATCGCATTTTGTAAACCATCTTGTATAATTTTTTGTTCCAAACTTATTGAGTTAGATTTTGTTACATTATTCAATTTGCTATCTTCACTTTTTCTTGACTTGTCCTGTCGCAAATTTGAATCATTTACCTGATTGAATATCTTAAATTTATCATAATTTTCATTGTTATTAAAATTATCAATCGCATTTTCAGTAAAATTGTCTAAAATAATATTTTCTGATGCAATAAGAGCAACTTCTGTAGATTTATTTAGATTTTCTCTATTTTTATTCGTAATATTATAATCAAGTTGTTTGTTTAATCTATCCTGACTTAAAATATCTATTATATCATTTGTAGAAGTCGGCTGATCATTTGCATTTTCAGTGGACTGTATGTTACTAGAAGATAACGGTGGTATAATAGTATAAGATGGCACATTTACATTCTTAGAAGTTATTTCATTAACATCGATATTTGACTTTAATATATCACTATTTCTTTGGTTTCCGCTTTCATCGTAGTTTCCTTCGTGTTTCTGTGATAAAACAATATAACATCATTGCAAACGACCAAAAATTAATTAAAAACAATACGAATCTTTTTACATACCGATTCATCGTTACTAATCGTTCTCTTATGAGTTTTCAAATGACTTTTTAAACTATGAGGAGTAGTGAAAGATCGTTTGCAGATTTCAAAAGTACATACATAAGGTCGTTCTCCCGTATGCGTCCTTTTATGAGTTTTTAGATGATGTGACGCTGTAAAAGCTTTACCGCATCCTTTTTCTCTGCATCTAAAAAATTTTTTTCATATATATTACACACATTATATTTTGTATAATTTTCTCGATAAAAAGATAAGAGTTAAATAATTTTCTAGCATAACTATGTTGAAAACATATACACATGCAAATATGATGTACAGAACATTAGTGTTTGTAACGTCTACTTATATATTTTTAATGTTATGCACGTACTTTACATTTATTGGTATCTTTAATTTCTTTGAATTTCTTTGAAAATTTATATCACGAGTAAAATTTCATTAATGGAAAAAAAAATATGATGCTACATCATAACTAAATATAAAAGCAGATACAAAAATTAGTAATTAAAAATACCAAAAACATACTTGTAAGGTCTTTCTTGAGTATGAGTACGTATATGTTTCTTGAGATCACTTAGAGTAGTGAAGAATTTAACGCATCCAGTCTCTTCGCAGTTAAATGTGTTGCCACTATGAAGTCTTTGGTGAGCTCTCAGTCTGTAAAGGGTATTGAACGCTTTCTCGCAGCCTTTGTAATTGCATTCAAATGGTTTTACTTTTGTGTGTACCCTAATATGAATCTTTAGGCTGTACGACGTGAGGAAGGCCTTGCCACAATTTGGTTCTGCACATTTAAATCGATACTCGCCTGAAAGTTTTGAGAATTCCTTCCACATAAAAAGTTTGCTGGGCTACCTATTGCTCGCAGTATCTGAAAGCCATGCAGGTCAAAGCGTTCCCTTTATACCAGCAGTGATAACATAATGAATAAAGTGTGTACATAAAAAAATGTATAAAGCATGAGCAGATTCTATATATCCTTATTTATGAAAGACATTAAATATAACATTAATAATAACACTTTATATGCTTACCTTGTCTCCTATAATTTTCAGTAAGCACAAAAAATATATACATATTAATTAATACGTGTTACACTGGTTTATGTAAGCATAACATGCAGAAGTTATAATATTACAGTATCACCTGTACAAAGCTATAAGCAATATTAGCACCAAACAAGCAATACTGTCATCAATATTTTGTTTTAAAAAATACAAAATAAGATCATACAAAGCATATTGTTATGTACTGAACATTTTAAATATTAGTATTGCATTAAAAATGTAATGATCTATAACAATGTTTATATTATATAAAAGTTTTACCTTTATGAGTTTTCATGTGAGTACGTAAATTCCCAACTGTACTGTATGTTCTACTGCAGCCTTCATATTCGCAAGTATAGCGACCAATATGCTTTTGACTTGTATCTGGAACTATGTTTTCAATTGTAACAGTCGTATATTTAGATTCAGTTTGTAAGGTGTCATCTTGGTCAAACTGAATATGCGTATAAATTTCATCAGGGCTAGCTGTACGGTGTATTGACCTATAATAAAAAATACATTGTTCATAACTGTGCCTTTATAATTAAGTATTTATGTATCTAATTTATTTGATTTTACTAGTAAAAAACATAACATATAACATCATGCATGAGTAATACTTAAATCTATTGTTACTGATAGCTACTCCTGCATTCAATGATTTGTTAAGTTTAAATATTATATCACAATGATATTAAAATATAATGGACAATATAAAAATGATCTTACTTATGCACATATAAATAATAGAATAATGTTACATTACACTAATTTATTGATGTAACAGCAAATATTAACACATCATATATCAAATATAAACTAGAAGAATATTTTCAAAAACTGTAACAAGTTGAATAGAAATTCAAGAAAAACATAATTAAGTATACATGTAAGAGATAAATACTATATAATTAAGTATACATGTAAGAGATAAATACTATATAATTAAGTATACATGTAAGAGATAAATACTATATAATTAAGAAACAAATAAAAAATCGTTTATAACACAATGAATTCTTTCATTTTTATTCAATAAGTGATATATAATATAACACCAAATATTAAGGCTCTAATTTCAAAATGCGTTATATCCTTATAAGGATAGGATACAAAATGCTCAATTCATAAACGTATAGGTTATGAACAATTTTTATTTCTTCGCTTAATAACTCAATTTGAAAAGGTAATTCATTTTGAAAAGTATTCGTATTACCGGTAAGTAACAAATATGCAAAATTTAAATAATCTTACTCCGTAGTGTTGTTATTACATAGTCTTTCATCGATAGGAGTATCGTCATCTGAATACTTTTCATAGTCAAACACAGCACTAGGTTCATAAACTATTCCAAAATTAGTTAAATCTAAGCTATCATCCAAGCAATCCTGAAGATCATGGGTCACAAGAATGTTATCAAAATTTTCCTCGATATCGTCGGCATTTTCGATCTTCTGAAATTTTTCACCTTCCCACGTCGCCATACTTTTCCTGGCTGTACAAACAAATCACGAGATAACATAAACGTAGATTCGCCACCACGATGTTCATGATCTTTTCAAGTTACTCAATCGGTATCTGTTCTCCTTATCGTCGATCGCACAATGTACTCACGTAAAGAAATTGCGTTTTCGAATAATTTATAAAATCATTATAATTTATATGCTTTAACTGTCTTGAAAATTAATTCAAAGTAATATTTCTGGAAATAAAATAATATGAAAAGATATTACTGCAATAGAAATGACATATCTCTAAAAGATCTTGATTACACGATAGCCTTGACAAACAATTTATAACTTACATAGTTCTATAATACCATAATATATCTATTATGTAGTTAAATTCGCGAGAGAATATTACCGTCGAATAACATAATTTGTTCATTTTGTGCATGTATATCTCGTAATCGAAAGTAACATGCATGCGCATTTATGACGATCATAAAATCAAGATTGTTCATCCAGTGATCTTTTATTTAATACATTTTCTTCATTGTAGTGAACTAAAGCGTAGATTCCATTATCAACAAACTGGGAGACTTTTAAATTTCCGATTTTTCGGATATAGAAATCCTGGGATTTTAAAATATAAAAAATATAAAAAAAAAATTTTTCTTTTGCAACTTTTCAGTGTTGAAAAACTGATGTAAATATTTCTAACATCGATATTAGTAATATAGAGAAAATTTACGACAAATAGATTTCTAATTGTTAAAGATGAAATTAGATTCACTTGATTTAAATTTCTCATTCGTTTGCACAAGCAATGTAAAGGAACAGTACTTTCCAAACATCAAAAGTGCCGATCGAGGTGTCGACTTTTGTTATATCTCGACTCTACGGTCCTGTTCCATTCCTATATTTTCGTTCGCCATGTATACCTTTAATCTATAAAGAGGAAATGAGTAATTGCGAAGCAGTAAGTAGCGGGGGTGTTTTTTAAACTAATTCAGATAGCTTTCAAAGCACTGTTTGTTTTTGATGCGGCCTGTACAAAGAAGTATATAAGAACGTCTGACGGGTATGCGCCGTACAGATTATATTGTATTCGATAGATTATTTGACGTATATGACTTTGTGTATGTATGGCTCAGTTCATGGACATGTGCTCCAAAAAGACACCACGAATTCTTTCAATACAAAGTCATGTAGTGTCTGGTTATGTTGGTAATAAAAGTGCAACATTCCCTTTACAGGTAAATAATATATTTATATTGAAAAATAAATTATCTTCCGTACATATAACGTATATTATATACGATGTTACTAATTACACTCTCTTATCATCATTGTTATTGGTCTCTGGTTCATGATATCGATAAATATTAAGAATTATTTTAATTTTTAATAAATTTGTTTACAATTTAAGTTTAGTCAAATTAAGTATTAACTGTTAATACTTAACAGTATTATATTGTAAACCAGATATAACAATAAAATTGTAAATATTATAATATATATAAAATAATATATTTTCTATTCAGTTACTGGGTTTTGAAGTGGATGTAATTAATTCCGTTCAATTATCCAATCATACTGGATATAAGGCTTTTAAAGGTCAAATACTAAATGATAAGGATTTAGGTAAGATAAGATGTTAATTATATTTATAAACATATACAAACTTTTTTCCTGGAAGTTAATTATAAATTTGTTTAATACTTGTGATTATATTTCAGATGATATAATAGACTGCTTAGTAGAAAATGATTTAGATAATTATACTTACTTATTAACAGGATATGTGGGTTCTGCTTCGTTCTTGAAAAAAATAGCAGAAGTTGTTCATATATTAAAACAAAAAAATCCTGATCTTATATATGGTAAGTAAATGTACAATTTGAAATGCATTAATTAGAAAACATAATCTAATATGAAAAATTGATCTTTTAATGCAAGTATGTGATCCTGTTATGGGTGATAATGGAAAAATGTATGTTCCTGAAGCACTAAAGGAAATTTATATAAAAGAGATAGTGCCATTAGCAGATATTATAATTCCAAATCAGTTTGAATTGGAGTAAGTTAAACATATTTACTTTAAATAAAATTTTTATTTGTTTAATATGTTTAATTTGTCTTTAATGTTTAAAACAATAATAATTTTAGACTTTTAACTAATCTGAACATTAATACAATGTCTGATGTACAAAATGCTGTAAAGAAATTACATGAAATTGGACCTGAAACAGTAGCTGTTACATCAACAGAGCTTGGCGATAAATTAACAGCAATATTTAGTACAATTAAAGGTAATAAAATAATAATACTGCTTTTCATAACGACTAAGGTATATTAAAATTCATCTTAATTTCAGATAGTAAGATCATAAAAATAGATATTCCAAAAATACCAATTAATTTCACTGGTTCTGGAGATCTCTTTGCTGCCTTATTTTTAGCTCATACACATTTACAGGACGACATGAAAGTTGCCATTGAGAAAACTGTAAATTCTCTGTATAGTGTTTTGCTAGCTACTTACAATTATTCTCAAGGTACTTGTTTCTGTTATATTCTTGTACAAAAATATAAAAAAATAACACTCGTAAATATTTATTAGCATATCAAGATGAGGAGTCACAGCCTGCAAGAAGAATCGAATTACGTTTAATACAGAGTAAAAATTTAATTGAAAATCCGGAAATTAAATTATTCGCCGAAACTCTTTCATAGATAAATGAAATTTGAAATACGCGAATAAAAATATGTACAATAATGCCAATGATAATTATAATGTAATTATATGCTACATATATGTATATTAAGCCTTGTTTTAAATTAAGATGTAACATTTATAAATTACAATTTCTGGTGCTGGAATTTATATTGTATAGTGTATAGTTGATAATTGATATATTAACTGTTTTTAAGGACCACTGTTTTAATGTCTTCCGGTATAAAAAGTTGCTATATGTTTTAATAAATTATAGAACATAGAGTGAAATATAAACTACTTTTAACGATATTTCTGTATGTCAAAGAAGCGTTGAAAAACTATTATTGTATATATTATCTTATAAATACATATATTTACACATGAATTATTCGCAATAATTTTTCAACGTTAAACGAGGTACAATATTCATAGACTGGAGTTCTTGGAATAATAACTTGCAAGCATAAGGCATAGAAATCGTAGAAACACATGAACTAGAGCGACAGCTATGACACCAACCACTATATGCCATCAAACCACATTTGTTGCATATGTCGATATCAAATGCATCGCTGGATATCATAAGTCTTTCTATTAACATCATACTCGCACCGTAGCCAATTAAACAATCTCGCTCCATTTCGCCTAATCGTAAACCTCCTTCTTTAGCACGACCTTCTGTTGGTTGACGCGTTAATACAGCTCTTGGTCCTCGAGAACGGGCATGCATCTTATCTTGTACCATGTGTTTCAATTTTTGATAATATACCTGTGTTATATTATAATCAAAGAAATATGTATGTATATATATATATATTACATAATATAAAATGAAAGTTCGAATACTAGAATGCATTAACTTACCGGACCAGAATAAATATACGCTTGTAACGGTTCTCCAGTAATACCAGAATAAAAGAAATCTTTGCCTAAATAATTATAACCATGTTTTACTAATTCTTCGCAAACATCTTCCACTTTTGAACCTCCAAATGCTAAGTGAATACAATTTTTATGATACACTGTTATGACAATTAGTAGAAAAAGATTTATGCATAAACATACCTGTGCCATAATGAAATTCTCCTTTTATGACACCAGCTTTTCCTGCAAGTAATTCTATCAATTTTCCAACTGTCATTCGTGAAGGAAAACCATGTGGATTCATAATCATATCAGGACAGATACCATAATCGTTAAATGGCATATCTTCTTGTTCTACGATTAGTCCTACACGCAAATATAAAAATAATGCAATACTTTTATGAGATTAACTAAAAAAAAAAAAAAAAAAAAAAATTAAAACGCATACCGGTCACACCCTTTTGTCCGTGTCGACTGCTAAATTTATCACCAATCTCAGGTCTTCGAGTTTGCCTTAACAATAATTTAATTAAAAATGCATCTTCCGCGTTACTAGAAATCATTACCTTCTCAACATATGCAGGGACCGGGCCTTTAAAAACAACTGGCACATCTTTATATTCTGTTTGTGTTTGAACATTACCAGAATTCACTGGTCCAATATTTACAGAAGGCGATGATTTATTTACCATTACCTATAGATAAAAAGCAAACGATATTAACCGCATTAATAAATTCCTACTAGTACAAACATTTACGAACGTACTTTTCGATTTTCTACCATTTCTCCAGGTGCAGCAATTCCATCGCTATCAATAATATCATGCTTCCAAACAGATTTCTTCGTATTCGAATCTATCAGTGGACCCATTATTCGATCATACGTTTGATTAGCATATCTTTTTAAAGTACACTTTGCATTTCTATAAATTAAACATCGTCCGTATCCTCTATCAATTGAAGCTTTATTTAAAATAAGAGCATCTTCGATATCGTAACCGCTGTAAGACATTACAGCTACAATTGCATTTTGACCGGCGGGTAATTTATCAAAATTTATCAGTTCTATTGTTCTGGACTTCACCATAGGTGCTTGGGGATATACTAGATTGTACATCAACGTATCAATACGATTTCGTTGATTGTAACCGATAGTTCCCATTGCTTGTTTCCCCATAGCGCACTGATAAGTATTCCTTGGACTTTGATTGTGATGAGGGTATGGTACTAATCCTGCACAAACTCCAAGCAACGTAAACGGTTCGATTTCTAAATGGGTTGTCTTCTCGTTAATATGCGATTCATTAAATGCGATAGAACTGTCATTTTCTTCGTTTACGTCTAAATATTCGATCAAACCTGTTAATAATACAATAATGTAAATACACGCGAACAGGATTCAATTAAACATACATATCTAAGTATACTTACCGTCATTCAGAAAATCTTCAAAACATCTTACTCCGTGTTCAAGCAATTTTATATGTTCCGCTTGTATAAGAGGTTCACCCTTTTGTACAATAATGTACGGTCTGCACAATCGTCCTCCATCGGAACTAATCTGAATACATCTGAAAATAGATTAAGTGATTAAAATTTATAATCAATGAAATATTGTATTCCTATGAGTATAAGTATTACCTATGTTGATGTTGCGTATATATAGAAACAAAACCATTTATAAGACCTTTTCTGCGTAATAATCTGAACACGTTCACCAATCTCTGATAATTTTTTACAATACCTAAAATATTACCATTTAGGAAAACCATATATACTTTTCTATTATTAATTTCTTCTCCACCAAGAATATTAACATTTTCTACCCCTAAATTAAATGCTAATCTTATAATCGGCTCTTCATCAATTTCTGTGGTAATGTGTGTCATAAGAGCCAAATTTTTCACTAAACCACAACCCTGTTAAAAATAATTTTCCTTTTAAATAGCGTGGTAATCTTTATGTAAAGTAGCATAATAATAATAATACTAACTTCTCCTTCGGGTGTATCGCTAGGGCAAAGCATTCCCCATTGCGATGGCTGTAAAGATCGTGGACCGGATACTTTTCTAGTTTTTTCAAATTGTGAATTGACTCGTGTCATCATGCCAAGTGCCGAAATATACGAAAGTCTAGATAATACTTGTGTGACTCCATGACGTTCCATTTTAAATCGTTTAATGGTCCAATTACCCTGTATAGAGGACATTATTTGTATAGAATCCAACACTATGAATTTTTTCTTTGTCCTAAATATTAAATTGTATTAATTCTGCTACCTACAGAAGATATAGCAAAAGCCAATCCATTGGTGATCTGATCCTGTCTCATATGCTTTACTATATCAAATTGTGCAGCTTTAATCTTTGGTATATTTTTGTCAGCAATTTGTTTCAACTACAAATACAATATTATAGTTTCCGCCAATAAAAGTCATTTATTATTATGTTATATATTATAAATATTATTATATATTATTTTACCTCCCAGTTAAATCTTTTAAACAAATCTTCAAACATCAAAGATAATAACGAACCCGCTAGTTCTAATCGTTTATTACCATAATAATCTCTATCATCTACTAGTTTTCCATCGGACTGTGCTTTCATGACCTTGCGAATCATTAAAGCAATATAAGTTGCTTTCATTTTAAAGTTAAAATCAACAACCTGTAATAAAAAATTACATATCATCCTGTAATAGAAATCATCAACATTATATAATAATAGATAGCTTTATATTACTAACAGGAACATGTGATAAAACATTAGTTGCTAATATATCTTTCATTTCATCCGTGATACTAGATTTTATGACAGAGAATCTTTTCTGTTTCCTTTTGTTATTAAGAAATCTGAAACATTATAAAATTAATATCGATGCATATTAATCACTTATTATTTAACATACTATTACCTCAATGCTTGATTTTGAGCAAAAACATTTAAAACATGACATTCTTCTAAACTAGGTGCAAATTTTTTCATAAATTCTTCTTCTGTACCAATAAGTTGCATAATTTCTTGATCACTAACTATTCCCATTGCCTTAAATATTATTGTTACAGGGATATCCTTAACATACATAACAGGTATGAAAATATATACGAAAATATTTCATAAAAATTTTTATATACAAATGCTACTTACATCTTGAAAAATATTATGTCTCATATAGTATCGTCCACCTTTACCTATAATATTAGTCTTAGTCTTTCTCTCATGAGTAGAACTGTTACAAGAGGCTACAATACATCCTTTATTATCTTCTTCTAAAATAATTCTATTTCTAAGCATTTGTTCTTGTATTAGAATTACTTTCTCCTGTCCATTTATTACAAAATAACCACCTGGATCATGTGGACATTCGTTCATTTTTGCCAATTCAAAATGAGATTTACCAGTCAGTACACAATTTGAACTTCTCAACATTATAGGCATTCTGAAAAACAATTAAGTTAACTGGTATGACATATTTTTTAATATTTAATACCTAAACTTATCTTTTAAAATTTATACCTTCCAATTAATAAATTATTCCTAATTATTGGTTGATGACCTCTTATATATTCAATGTCAACTGTAATCGGAGCAGAATAATTTAAGTCTCTTAAACGACATTCATGCGGAGTAGTTGGACGTGTTACATTGAAACCTTCTTCGACATCAGGTGAACCCACATGAACATTTAAATATCTGTAACAAACGACATAAATAAAAGTGACTGCATAAAACACATTAGCATTTCAAGTAATAATACTTACTTCACATAAAATAAGGGATCAGCATCGCTGAGTACTTTCTCATTTGCTTTTACGATTTTTTTTATTTCTGTATTTATAAAATAATTGAAAGAATCAATATGCTGCTTCACAAGACCTTTTCCTTTAAGGAAAGCAGGTACAAGTTTCCATTTATCCTATGAATAGTTATCCATGAATAGTTATCTAATTATAAATGTATTAAAGATATTATTAATTTTTAATTTTTCATACCTGTATATGTACTTTATTATACTTTTGTTCTAATTTAATGCCATCATGGATATTAATTTTCATTTCACCCATTGTTGCATATATAATGGACACCAAAGTATAATCAGTGATTAAAAATGATGTGTACACTCAATGGTACGATATACAAAATTGTTAACAAATTTGAATTGTTTATTTACATCCTGTTGATTGTTCTTAACCTAATATTCGTAGAACATCTTTGTATTAATTTTACAAGTGGAACGCAACTTATTAATACGCTGAAATCGAAACGAAGACGATTATATATAAAGTAGTCAATTAAACAAATGAATGCTCATATCATGTATTAAAGCATCAAAGTATTAAAGCAAAATTAGTTACATCCAATGTGCACGCAAAAGGGTACTGTGTATAAATGTATACGAATGCCGCACGATCCGTCAATACCGCAACTAACCGTTACATATTTATATTTCAGACGAATTATATAATATATGATATATTCGTTAAAATGTTATATATTTTAACAACGAATTATATTTACATATCAATCATTACAGATATTTTATAAGTATTATGTATTATATATTTATTTATAACAATACAAATTGTATGTATGTGAATATATTTAAAGACTACTAAAAAAATAAGTCTTTTTTATAGTTTACAATAAAGTATTTTAAAGATTTAACAGTTTATTACATTATTTATAGAAATGCCATGTTTTGAACATAACCTCCAACTTATATAGATTCGTACAATAAAAGTAAGCTCGTATTAATATTACATTGTCATTGAAATAATGATACATTTATATGTTATTTAATATAATATAATTGTGTATTCTTAATTTCTAAAATACTTCTATTTGTAATATATATTACGAAGAATTAAAATATTTAAATATAGTACGTAAAATTGGAGATAAGATAATTGTCATGTTTACTGATTAAAGTATATATGAAATTCGTGTAATTCTGAAACATCGTAAGTTTAAAACTATGAAATTTATTATTAATAAATGTGCAGGAGCACTTTTTTCGAATTATTTAAAATTGAGCAACAGGTTGCTCCTTGTAAGATATGGTTCGCAATATTATAAGATAGATGATAACATTTCTGGACTTAATGATGAACAGAAACAGGTTAGTAAATTTGAACAAACATCTGGATTACTAAACGATCATTGCCAAGGTCAAATATGCAAAAATCGATACATACTTATTTCTGAAAATCGATTATCGATAGAAAATGTAGATTGTCAGCTACATTTCAAAATCGAAATTTGGACAAAATAATTACGAAATAATAATGAAATTACATTCTTTTCTGTACCCCAGCTTCGACAATTGGTTTTTAATTTTGCACAAAAAGAACTTGCACCGAAAGCTGCCGAAATTGATAAGAAGAACAATTTCGACGAATTGCGAGTGAGTGTAACGAAGTATTTAAAAACATAAAATAATTAAAAAAATGCAATGTGAACATGAAAAGATACTTAGGAATATATTTTAGGAATTTTGGAAGAAGCTTGGAGAATTGGGCTTTTTAGGAATAACGGTAAGATCAGAATACGGTGGTACAGGTGGTACTTATTTAGATCATATTATCATTATGGAGGAATTAAGCAGAGCATCAGGGGCTGTAGCATTGAGTTATGGCGCGCATTCGAACTTATGTGTTAACCAAATCCATAGAAATGGTACGGAAAAACAAAAGCAAAAATATTTACCGAAGGTGTGTAATATAAATTGCAGATTCGCTATATAGACGTAAATTTTCAAATTTAGACATGTTGGTAAATAATCATAATATATTTAATTTTCGAATAGCTGTGCAGCGGAGAACACATTGGAGCGCTCGCTATGTCAGAATCAACATCCGGATCTGATGTAGTTTCCATGAAATTACGAGCTGAAAAAAAAGGAGATTATTATGTCTTAAATGGTCACAAATTTTGGATTACGAATGGTCCCGATGCTGACGTTCTCGTAGTTTATGCGAGAACGAATCCGAATGCGAGTAAATTACAACATGGTGTTACAGCGTTTATCGTCGAACGAGATTTTGAAGGTTTTAGTACAGCTCAAAAATTGGATAAACTCGGTATGCGAGGCTCCAATACCGCTGAACTTGTATTTGACGATTGCAAAGTTCCTGGTAACTTTAGGTTTACATAAATTTTACCTTATTATTAAACAGAATTGTATAGAGATTGTAATCAATTACAGCTACAAATGTTCTTGGAGAAACGAACAAAGGCATATATGTGCTTTTTAATGGTTTAGATTTGGAACGATTGGTACTAGCAGCAGGTCCTTTGGGGTAAGATTTTTTCCAGCAGGTTTATTAACGCTAGAAGAACCAGATGTTTTTATTCTAATTCTACATCATAAATGTTATACATTTAACTGGTTGTATTAATGTTAAATCCATTGAAACATTAAGATTATTATTATTTTCAATGTATTGTATGTCAGAATTCTCCAGGCTTGTTGCGACGTGGCTTTTGATTACGCACATACCAGAAAACAATTTGGCAAACGCATAGCAGAATTTCAGTTGATACAAGTATAACCTTAGAATACATATCGATGTTCCTTGACTTTTTAACGTAATAAATATTCAAAATGCCGTTAATGTTCTAGGCAAAAATGGCGGACATGTACACATATTTAAACGCATGCAGAAGTTACTTATATTCCGTAGCAAGATCTTGCGACGCAGGACACGTAAATCGAAAAGATTGTGCCGCGGTAATACTTTATATTGCCGAATGCGCTACAAAGGCTGCCTTAGATGCAATTCAAATTTTAGGTAACTTATTTTTAATCGAAGTTTTTGCGAGATTGTTGATTCTAAATATTCGTGTTGGATTCATATAGGTGGAAACGGATTTATAAACGATTATCCTACCGGTAGACTTTTAAGGGATGCTAAACTGTATGAAATCGGTGCTGGCACCAGTGAGATTCGCCGAATGGTAATCAGTAGAGTGATTACCGAAGAATATTCGTAAAAGAAAACGTTACGACCAGACCGACTGTTGGAGTTTACAGGACACGGGACAAAAGTCTTCACACATACATTACAAATTTTCGACATTACTAGACGCTGCGTTAGATTAACCAAATCTTACAAAAATCTAATTGAAATCTAGTTCAGCGTTATTGACGTAACTAGATAAGAGGTCGTGTCATATCTGGTACAAAGTGTAGATACTAGTAGTAAAACAAAGGGCTGTGTCTCGACCAAAACAAAAATTCTGGTTACGTCAATATCCAAAACGCGATGTAAGCCGAAATTCGAAGAAGGCAAATGTCTCACGTGTCCATTCTTAACAGCGATGTTGAATCTCTCTTAATCGTTTTGTTAACTCTTTATACATATATACATATATCTATTTTTTTAACAAAGCATAAATAAAGATACCTTACGTACTCTACACTCGAAGAATCAACAGGTTGACGGAAAATTTATAGGTCACTCGTATTGCCAATTAACATACTTGTCAAATAGTATGCGATGTATACACAGTTTCTTAGGATCGTGTAAATCGAGATAAATGAGTCACTAGAACGGTGCAATTTTAAAACTATGATTGACTAACCTTTCGCGCTATAGGTTGCTAATTTAAGTCAAACTTACGTACAATCTCTTCTTCTCGGTTCATTGCAAGCTACTCTCTTTTCCTCTTTCTCTTTCTATCCCTTGATTTAGTCTCATTAATCACAGTGCAGCCAAACTAATTAGATCGAAACCACATAGGGGAGAGAAGCTTTCGGGTGCTCGGTAGACGTCACTCTCAGTGAAAGCACGTCCGCAAAAGAGAGAGGAAAGTGTAGAAGTCGAGAAGTTCGCAGAGCGAAGATGTCCCTTAAGTTCTCCATAAGCAGTTATTACGAAACATACGTGAGTACATATACATATATTAATATGTATATATTCATAGGCAGTGATCCAAACCAGTTTCGAATTCTTTTCCATTTAATTCCTTTTGACGGTATACCTTGCCATATCCTGCATTGTTTTTGCATAAATTACAATTTCATGCAATCCACAGGCATATCTTTCCTACGTTGGTTTGAAGAAGCAACCCACTGTAACCCGTAAATATGTTAATAAGCTATCCACGTGCAGTGTTCGATTCTTTAGTCCGTCAACGTTACTTTATGATCGTGTAGACGCGTCAAATACGATTTAATTAAAGTAAGTGTATACGTTAACAATTTATGCACCGTTTTAATTCATTGACTAAATAACTTGTCGATATAATTTTCTTTTCTCCGTAATAGAACACCTCGTACCATCGTAATTAACGCCCGTCGGAACTAATAAATTGATCGTACGAAAATTAAATGAATGCATCGTGATCGCTCACGACGATCACCAGTGACTGCTAGTATGAATGTAATTCGGTCAAATAATTAGGAAATGAAAATAGTAGGACAGTTCTGAATAGTAGTAACAAGGGGAGCGCATGACCTTTAGAACCTCGACTAAATGAAAAATTTCCACGCATAAGGGTCGTTTTCTTACTTTTAACGAATAGTAGTAGTTTAGGGGAATAGGTACTAGCTACACTCGAGTAGAACGTAAGTAGGCTTCTTTTAGCTACGAGTAAGAATAGAAGAAGGAGCCTCCTACTGTTTGTTTTCGACTTTGGGAGAACTTAGAAAATACTTAACGTAACCACGGAGCTATACGTATGTATAATGCAAGGCTATATGACGCGTGACGATAAAACACGAGTATACGCCTCCATAGAGCTAAGTCGGTTATAGGAAAGCCTAAAAGTAATAATTCTGCAAAATTGTATCGCGCATAACTGTAAAGATATAGATGTATTTTGTAAGGTGACGCTTCGCTTAAATTGAAATTGGTTTACGTTTGTAGCGACGGTGACAATCCCGTGACAACCTAACGCGATAAACGCTAATGACCTGGCAATATCCAAGCGATACGAGCGAGATTATTGGACCCATCGTTGATCGTAGGAAAGTCAGGGAGGCCGCAAGTGCCAGAGAAACGAGTGCAGGTCGGACCAGAACAATACACACGGTATGCCAATTCGAAATGGGGCCAGAATAGCAGAAGCGGCGGGCCGGTAGTTGGGTAACTAAGCTCGCACAGAAGTAAAGCCTGTCAAAATCAAGTGGCGGTGCAGCCAGTAGTTCTCGTTTGCCAGTAAGGAGCGTTAGCACGGTATACGATATTGTCTCGATTCGTCGCCGATACGTATTTGTCCCGATTAAATTTTTTAAGCGATCTCGTGGTTCGACAAACCTTCGCTCCTCTGGTATACTATTTTTGTCTCGATCTTTTTGTCGGTTTTGTGCCCGTTCTAAACACGCGATTGGGTTGTTGTGACAGACGGAGTAGAGCATGACGAGGAAACAAACGGTGATCGTGAAGCTTAAGAGATCCAGCGCCGGCAAACCTTGGGGAATACGTATCGCCGGAGGCGCTGATTTGGGTACGCCGATCGTCGTCACCCGCGTGAGTCCTCTTTTCATCCAATTTTCACTTCGGACAGTCTTCTTCCGATACGCAAACGCGTGCAATCGATGCACCACCAAATAGATATGTATAGATTGCCTACGAACAAGTTATTATTGGATATACTGAAAAGCAATTGTAACAAAAGCTACCGTTTAATATAAATTATTTCGTGCGTCGAGTGGCACTTAAGAAGGCCTCGAACGATCGATGTACGTTATCGATTACTGTTAGTATTTGTTGACAATGTCTTGGCTATATATACCAATCATGTTCAACAATACATTTATCTTTATTTTCCATATAATGTACAACGACGTATGTTCCGAATAAAACTAGAAGAAGAAGAAGAAGAAGTCTTCCCTCACGCAATATCGAGCAATGAAATATCGATAACATATATTTTGATCGCGAGAGGATCTCTTAGTTTGGTCAACATTTTTCACTAGCGATCAATTTCGTTTTATGGACTAATCTCTGTGTAATATGTTACTGACTTATCCATCTCTTACGCGTATTCTAATCTCGCGCATATTCTTCTCTTGGTTATCCAATTTATCAAGAAATATAGTTTAGCTTTACCCGTTGTAACAACTATTGCAGCCTTTTACGAAATATATTAATTACTTATCTCGGTGATGTCCTGTTTATCATATTTAATTCAAGTTCCTGTAATATTTCGGAAAAATGGTGTGTGACAATTTGCTGACAATGCTACTAACATACAAATGAACGATGTTAACCCAGATCTACTAAACGAATACTAAAGCGCTTCAATTACAATTAAGATCTCGACATTTTCAAATTTGGTGATACGTCTATTGTAAAGTATAGACGTATCAACAGCGAAGGCAGGGGACCTAGTCCGCCTCGGATAGAAAGTTTACTCGCGCCAATGCTTTGAGTTAGATGTAGCTGATAATTAATTAAAAGACAAGTTGACTATTCGATGATATTAAAAATTGAAAATGAAATTTGTGATTGCAGTCGGAGAACGAGGCGCTCCAGAGGGGTGACGTGATCAAGAAAATCGACGATTACGACGCGCGAGACGTGAGGCACGTAGACGCCCAGAATCTTCTTCAAAACTCTGAATCTATAAAGCTAGTAGTCGAAAGGTCTGAGCCGTCGAGTGCATCTCGTATCAACATTACCACGTCACCTCCGATTATCAAGTCGAACATTGGCTACAGGGCTGCGGTCACTAGTCTGTCAGAAAGCAATTCCACCTTTATTATTATCCGCTCGATTTGTAGCATCACTACCGCCGCGCTGCTACCCGCTCTACTCGTAACACGATTCTATTAACGCTTCGTATTATTAAAATTATTTCAATCTTCCTTTCTTTTTTCTTATCTTTTTTTTTCTTTTATACGCCATAATCGCAGCGCCTGATTGACAGCTCACCGCATCAAGAATCATCATCGTTATCTCGACAATCACTTTCATCTTGTTGCATAATTGTGCCATAGCGAATCTTATTTGCGAGTCGCGAAGACTTCTAATTAGAAAGCAAAAACGATGCATTTTTAATCGAAGTAAAATTGCCGTTAATAATCGCTGCTAAGCTTCTAATCAAGGAAGCGAATCTTTCCTTTCAATTGCAATTGCTATTATGCACGCTTTGCATTTCTGCACAACGTTATCGCAAAATTGCACGCGAGAGTGGTTGTCGAGTACCAGCGAGTCTCTCGTGAGAGGAACTCCTTTCCACGTTGATTCGTTAGTAAAACACTTTCCCGTTCCGCTGTAGAGCCAAACCAACAAAAGTACCGTCGGAATTGCCGAAGAGTCCTATACCGCCGCCCACGATCGACGAATACAGTCGACCCACAACGCCACAGGAACCTTTTAATTTACCGCACGAACATCTCGATGAAATTCGCGAGGAGAAGGCTTATTTGTCGCAGGTACTTCGAACACAAATATACCTTGAGATACGATCGCGGATAGATGCGAGTTAACCGTTTCTTCTAACAGTTTCTGCCACGACAAATTGTTATAGTAGGTATTCGAGACTTGGCTTTGAATTTCACTAACCGAAGACAATTGTTCTTTCAAGCGATATACACGTTATGAGATCGCGTTTGTTCTTTCGATCTAAAAACGAGATGAAAAAATTGGCCAACAGTCTAACAAATAGGTAATTCAACCAGTCAATTGTTCATTTCTTGTTATGTTTTTAATATTTTTCGGACAATTTATGCTCTTACTCGTAAGGACATGTCACATGTCCATGTATCGCAAGAGCGATGCGTTGTTCAAAGAGAGCCTCAATAAGGATTTAAACGTAACAAGAATGAATCTCTACCTATTCTCTTCAATATTGTATATACTTCTATTTCATTTTGTTTTTTATTATTTCTACTTTTTAACAAGTGTAGGGAGAAAATTTGTTTAAAACAAGAAGTTAGCTGCAGCTAATGAACTCGTTGCCAGCCCCGATCAATCGTCTTTTATACTTTATCAGCAATTCGATTCTCTAAACTATAATACTTCTAACTTAGTCTAGTTAGTTTAAACTTCCAACGAAGTCGTTGACCCGTTAACACAACATCTCGAACTACTTCAGGAAGTTGTACCAGACCTTTCCGTAGCTATTCAGTAAACTCTCGCCGATGTTCGGTAATTTTCAATTGTCAGAGACAATATACTACTGGTAATTTCATTCGATAATCTTTTCTTCTTTGATATTTTACGTCCACGCGTCGAACGTGGATACACAGCAAAATCGAACGTGTTCGGTAGTCGAAAGGAAATTGACAATTCCGAAGAAAATTGTGCGGGAGAACGCCAAAACCATTCGCTAAGTATAGACTGCTATTTCGACCGATACGACACAGCCTGCTTACCGTCCGTCTCAATCTATCTATGAGACTAACAATTTTCTTGCGGTTTTTACGCTCTCGATAACTTTACAATAGCGAACAACGAAATCAGTATGATTCCCTATAGTTTATCTAATTAAATATAGTAGGATACATTAGACAGATATTTTTGAAATAATATCAAACTTTTTATCTGTAAGTTGTAGATCTTAATTTTTATACGACTATGGCGAGGGACATATTCATTCAGACTAGAGACATTCGGTAGCTTCAGTCAGCGACGTAGTCGGATTTAAAAGTCACCGACTTTTTTATCCCTAGTCTAAATTTCTCGTTTCTTTAAGGGATAAGAAATATGTTAGAAATAGAAAATTTTATATTGTCGAGGAAAAAACTTTTTTTAATGTTAATATCTAATTGGATAAATCATACTTCATGAGAAGTATGTACCGTGTGTAACACTTTGGAGATAATCGCGAGCATTATTCGACACATTTAGATGCACAAACAACTAGAAATAATCATATTTCAAAGTGTTAGAGGGATTGCATCTGGCAAGTTGAAGACGATTCTGAAATTACTCGGTCGCTTTGAAATTCAATAATTCATAGTCGAATTACCGTGAAGCTATAGGACGACGAAATGTTTATCTAACTTAATTCGCTATTTCCGACCGCTATTTTAAGATGACAGCACGATGCAACGAGTGTTAAAACATTTGTTCGGTTATAGATAAAGGACAATCACCGATCGTTTAAAAAAGATGTAGATATCTATTTGAAGCTTCGAAGCTCTCATTTAGCGTTATACCAAACTGTACGCGCCTTCGTTAAAAGCGGTTCGAACTATTTGTCGAAACGGCTGGACTATTTGTTCATTCAAGTCCGGCTTTCATTCCGTCCGTTAATCTATTCGTTTACTCGGTTGTCTCTCAAATTCATTAGATCGTTTCACGCGTAATATCGTTCCTGCAGTTAACTCGCTAATTGCTAAGAGTTGAATCGGTAACCAACAGAACATTTCGAATCGAATGAAACCGAATAATTTGTAAAGACAGATAAATGTGTAATAAGTACATATGGCAATGTATCGTGCAGTGATCTAACAGATGACGATATCATAATTGACTGCATCATGTCGCGATACAATGGATGACGACAAAACGTCTGATACGACATTACTTTCTAATATCGCGATAGACATGGCACTGTGTAACTACAATTATTTAAGACATGTTCGTTTTAATTTTCGTTCGAACTTTTCTGTTTGTTATCCTATGCGATTAATATAAACTCGAGTTGTCGATCACCGACGATCTCCACGACAGTCAATATGCTAACCAATCGCATTCGCAATCGCGCTTGTAATCGCTATCGATTCCGTTGTTTAAAATTACGATCGAGATGGATTTGAAAAGTTAATAACGTGGTTTCGCTCGAAGTCGCCTTTATCAGCGGGATGTTCGAAGTGTGAATATATTTTTGTTGGCCCGCCACGATGCCGGAAAGTCCACGTAGAGGCAGTTGCCACGCTATAAATATCGCTTTTGCATCGAAACCACCGCTCCGATCCAATACTACACGATCCAGGACGATTTCGGAACACTATTTCTAGTCTTCTTTCCTCGCACATATTGTATTCTTATTTGCAATAAACCCAGAAACTGAAATCCGCATGTTTCATATGTCAATTAGAGATCTTTACTTCAGGATCTGTAACGGAAAAATATTATTAGTTGTTAGCACTGATTTTTTGAACATAACTTGTCGTTAGACTTCAACGAAAAACACTAGGGATACGTTTCTGTTTTCTTTTTCGTAAATGATAATAAATGTCCTTGTAATAAATGCAGGTGTCCTTCACTCGATATAAATTCGATTACGGAAAAATTCAGGATACTCTTTCGGCAATACAAAGAGTCCCACAAATCGTAAGATTATTTCCGAATAAATATTTGTCTCGACAGATATTGTGATCCAAAACGATTTCGTATCACCATTTCCAGTTTTCTTTCGTTGTTTGCCACATATTGCGTTCTCAGTGTTTAGACATCCACGTTCGATTTTAGTGTCCAACTTGTTGAAAAGTACAAATTCTTCGAAGCATTATAGTTTTATGCATACATTTTTCATCCTAGAAACACATAAATAACGAGAAAAGAAGACACAGCTAATTTACGTCGATAACAGTTTGATTCGTGGAATTTTTGAAAAGTCAATGAAAAAGAAAGAGAACACTTAATTCCGTGAAGAGCAGGTCTGCTAGCAAATGAAACACTTCGTAGGAGGCTATCCGCGTTGCGCTATTCGACGATAATTCACTGGAGGAAGGTACAAAGCGGAAGAAGAGAAGCGACTTTGGCGAAGAACGCTGCAAAACGATAATCCGTATTTCAGTCGAAGAAGCTCGAGGCTCGCGCGTTTTGGTTCAGCTCCAAATATGACACAATCGATTAAAAATACGAGCGAACGATCCATAAGAAAAATTCTTTATTTACGGAAAAGTTATCGATCGTTCGAAAGGATTCGCGATGAACGTTTGTCAGGCGAAGAGGGACCTTGAGAAGATTTCAAAAGACAGAGGAAAAAAAGGTAGGATTCGCGAGGAATATCGCGAAATATAGAGCCGATCAAGAGCAGTAAAACGTAGGAGTGATCAAGATACGTGTCGGTGTTACGGGAGAGGTGAAGAAAGAGCGCGAGAGGAGTCGCGTGGAAAAGGCCAGAGTTAGTGCCTCCCGCGCAACGAACCAGTGCGTTAGCAAATATTCGAAGGAGAGAGATCGAAGAGAAAAAAAAAATAGTGCTTAAGCTGGTCCCAAAGGAACGAGAAAAGGGAGATCTTTGCACGGGTGTATCGCAGTTCGAGGAACACGAACCTCGGTTCGACTAAGAACACGATGCCGGCTTACACCACCGTTTACCGTCACACCGTCGAACATCACCCGAAAGAGGAGGAGGCTGCCGTGTTTTGGGTACGAAATCGTTCAACTTCTCATCTGCAACGTTCAACATCGACAATTACGTTCCTTTCAGAATTTTACCGCTTTTATTTTCTCTTACATTTTGCAACGTCTTACAGAGATGTTCTTTATATCGGGCAAACCGTTTCGTTCCATCGGACGTTTCGTTCAGTTGCTCGAAGAATTTTAGGATTTAAAAAAGATTTCTATGTTGAAGCAGGCAATAGACTCGCAGTCTTAGACAGAAATTTATTGTTTCACTAAAATGCACAGATTTCTTCTATAAGAAACTATAACTCTACTGTAAGTAACTATTGTCTTACTAAAGCAAAATGTTATATAAACATTTTGTTAGAAAATTCGAAGCAGATGTTAACTTATTGATACAATTATTGCAATTTGGTGAAATCCTCAGGAACTCGATAGCGTAGAGAAACGATCATTTTCAGTGATATAAACTATCATTGACACTGAATCATTAAGGGATAGTAAGCACCATATGCGTTAACTTACTGTTTCTTAGTTTGTGTGCGCGGTATTTGTTTGCATCCTTTTGTATTTCGTCGATCGAATTCCATTAACCGTGCATCACCGTCAAAAATAGATGTTCGTTGGATTGATGTACTTCGAAAAAGTCCCATAACACGTTCACTGTCATGCTGATCGTGAATGATCGACACCGTGGTACTTGAAATTTAAGCTTTTACAATTAATCTATCTGCAACTTCTCTTATCGCTCTCGCTGCGAAATTTAAAAGAACAACGCGTACTACTCTATAGGATAATCGATATTAATATGGGATTAATTGAAATAAAATTTATTAGATATCTGATATTGATCTGCAATGACTTTTCAACAGCGATCGATGCGTTAACTCTAGGAATCACAAGACGTTGAAGGTTGAAGGTTTAAGGTCAACCGAAGGAAACTGGCTAGGTTAAACGTTATTCTCTTCTGTTTAAACTACCTACATCGTTAACAAGTTGTTCGAATAAACCAAACAGGAAAGATGGAGTAGGATAGTCCGTTTAAAATCACTTCCTAACAGAAAATCAAATCAACGCCGACCTACGCAAGTTATTTCGTGTAAACATCTCTTTGTGAGCATCGTTCGACCTTCCCTCAGGGTTTTTAAGGTTAACGTTTCGATCATTCGACGAAATTGAACGTCCGTCAAGATGAAACGCAACGTAAGACGATCTAGATTTCGAATTGCGACGTGTGCCAACCTTGACATCGTCCGTAAAACTAGAGCTAGGTCTCGTGTGTCTGACACGACTGCACCGAAAAAAGGGCAAATGCAAGAAGATCTTTGCTCTCGAGATCGTGAACGAGACGACGCGACTGCACGTCCGAAGAGCAATGGCAGAACGCAACGAAAGGAAGAAAACGATTTCTAGAGACTAAAGGAGAGTTATACCGCTAGTATGACTGACTAATAACGCATTGCAATAAAACGCACACGAACACGTTGCGGCCTGTTCATTGCTATCTTATTCTATTTTCGTGAACGAGATCTGGGTTACTCAAATACAAGAGGGTCACACAACCACGCAAGCTCGTATCCCTTATATTTTTTGCTTTTTCGAAAACGTTTCATTAAAAATAAAAAAAATCATTCTACATTCAGCGTAAGACTCGTTACAATCGTCCTTCTAAATCTATCCGATGAGTAATCGTTCACGCTAGAAACGACTAAGACATCGATTTAGATCGAATTTACTGCCTAAGTTTAAAAAAAAATGGTGAAAATTAAAGTTCGAAGGTATTTTGCGCTGGATTTTTGACAATGTAATGTCGAAAGATCTTGCCATTGCCAACAAATTTTTACAAGATTTTCTTAGAGTTCAAGTTTCAATATAGCCAGTAGCGAGCCAAGCAATAAACAGTTCGAAACAACGTCGTTTTGACGTGTCTGAATTTAGTTCGGGGACATTTTACAATGTGACGTAGAAACAACCGCTTCCTTCTTCCAAAAGTATCGTTTATGAATTAAAAATATTTTATGGAAATCTGATCGTCCGTTGTTCGCGTACGAAGCTTATCGAAGCTAAATAAATTAGATATATCGAGAAAACGTGAACCGATAGGTATTTATCGAAACGACGAAGAAAGGTTTCGCGTGACACGAGGAGTATACGCGTTATTTTTGCCGGCTACGGGCCTTCGTCTATTTCGAGAGAGAGAGAGAGATATCTCGCATACCCTGTAAAATATCGTTTCTGACCCATTTATAATGGGATCGTCATAATTGTTTTGTTCGGTGACATAAAATCGATGCTTCCATCGTTCCTTCTTAATAATGCTAACTTTCCGAGTCGAAATATAAATTCTAGTTCGACTCTCTGAAAAGGAAGGCTTCTTCAACTTTTATGAACAGATACTCGATTTCGAAAATGTTGAAATCTGAAATTTCGAATTTCAATAGATCCGAAACTTCGTATTTTGAAACTTCGAGACCTCAGCATTCCGACGTTCGAAAATTCTCAAGTTCCACTTTCGAAAATAGCAATTAAATTAGTTACAAGTTAATATTTAACGAGAAGCAAAGTATGGTACACCTGTAGTTTAAATTTCGGCCCGGATGGTACGCGTTCTATTTCTTCGAAAGAAAATTGACGGTGGATGAATGCAATTCCGATCTTCTATTCTTGCTAGCGGATCTTATAAATACGACTCGTAACTTTATCCTGACGTTCATGTTCTTTTTACAACGTTCCACTTGACATTCTCATTTTTGTCGAGTTTCTACAATGACGATCGTCGATTTGTCTTCGCGTAAAGAATCTTCCTACCTGTGAAAATACAAGTGCACATACGTATAATAATTTCGTAATGTCATGCAAAACAAACGATATGTGACATAACGAATCACCGCAAAACATTTTGGCAAGCATTTTATTCGCGACGCTAACTGTTTTATGCAATTTTCTCATTGTGCGGTTACACGAGCCAAAGATCCGAAATTTTAGCCGCTTAACAGCTTTCATCCGTGACCGAGAGACATTGAGGATATATTTTATATCGCGAGCTTATTTCCGGTTGTAATACTTTTGCCAAAAATATCGCCTACGTTGTTACTTCGATGGAAGAACCGTTGAAAACAATGGCACGCAAATAGAACATTTACCGTTTTCTTGTTCGTGGAAAACTGAAACTATTTATCGTCGAGGCGATGAAAATTTCAATAAATGTATTTTTTAGCGTGTCGATATATTAGCGAAACGATCACCGATTTATTTTTAACACTGTTCACTATAGATGCAATACGTACTCTATTATCTCTATCGCAACGATGTCGAAAATTAATGAGGTATCATCGATCACCATGGCCTCTATTAAGGGTTATTTTAGATTTTGTTAGTTGGTAATTGACACCGTTTTGGCAGAGCATTCCAAGCCTGCTTGTCTTATTAAGAACTTTTCGCTCGATCGTAAGCGATTCGTTAATCGCTGTAATTCCAGTTAATTTAGGGTTAAAATAAAATACAAAGTCTTGAAATTCTTCAGAGTCGTAACAGTTTTGAAAGTGTAAAGCAAAACAATACGTAGCTCGTAAAAAGGGAATATTTGATAAAAACGCATATTTACATATACATCTGCAATGAACCTGGCAGAAACGAAGGCGTCGAATAATTTAAATGATACATATGTATCGAATATTTCCAAGACTTTCGATACGAAATTTAAAAGTAATTATCATCGACAACATTGTTATGATTAATTCATTTTTAGCCGTACCGCACAACTCCTCTGGTCTTGCCAGGTGCCAAGATCAAAAAGGATGCTCCACTCGGTGAGTGCTACCTTCGCCATCATCCGAATCCGATGATTCGGGCGGCTCCTCATCATTACGAACCAGCTCATCCCGAAGTTGCTATGAAACAAAAGGTACATTTCCATTTACTTCTATAACTTATTCACAATTTTTCGAATATTTAACGCGCGATCGTTGCAAAGAATAGAAATTTTATTCGAAAGATAATTAATCGGTGAAAGAACAGGTACCGAATAAATCCTTAATAAATAGCCTTTAGTAAACATACACGTTTTGTAACTATCGTCGAATTTTGACAATTTTGACAAAACGTACACGCGAAAGTATTTGAACATCGACGTACATCGTGAAAACTGTTCTGTTAATTCTTCGCTGCAAATAAATCAATAAGTCTTTTCAATAAGTGCTTTTTGCAATTTGACTTTTCTTGTCGATGTATAAGCGATTAAAGATTCGGTGTCTGACTAGGTGGCGGAATCGGTACTTCAACGCGTCTTGGGACCGAACGAAGTTCCAAAGGTTTGAACCAAATTATTTCTCAGATCGCTTCCGCTTCCACGAACGATGCTTTTCGCTTTCAACGGCAAAACGAATCACGCATTTTCGCTACAACCGCGATAATTATCGTTCTAACCGTGATACACTTCCGCTTCGACACGTATCGAACATAGTATAGCATGCGATCGACATACTCTTACCGATTAACCAGCTTAAAATCATTTGAAAAATCAAATACCCATTTCAGACACCAAATACAGACTCTAAATAAAATGTCTACCTCAAAAAAGGAACGCTTTGGACTCGTTCGTTTCGAGGATTTCTCTGCGAATCAATTTTCACACGGTCAACATATTATCACAATGGAATATTTTTTAACGGCGTTAACGAAAATTCATATCGTCTGATTGTTAGGTGGTGCATAAGCAATTTAACTCGCCGATCGGTCTCTACTCCGAACAAAATATCGCCGATACCATTAAGTGCCAGGCATCCGCCATACCGTAAGTAATAACACGTTTTAACGAACTATCGGTAAAAAATACGAAACCTAATTCGTTGTAGACACTACACGATGTAGCGGCTCGATATAAAAAGATTAATACGATTGAATTTTTGCTGAATGCTGCTACTTATAAAACAATTAACTCCAAGGAGTAATATCGATACCATTTACTAACGGATTATTTCTAAATCATAACTCGAATAACGTCTCCAAGATCAGTGATACGTAATTACGTCCACGTTCATATTCGCATCTAAGATTCTTTCTAGGTTCTCCTTCGTGTCCTTTAGTCTCTTCCTAGATTTTCCTTAAATTCTTCCACGATAATCACTTGATCTGTCCATCACTGATCGAGACGATTAACATTTTTATACATTAAACTCCTGATAAGGATGTTCCGTGTAATCGAGGTTTTTGAACGGCTTCAATTTGCTGCAAGACACTGACGAGAAAATTTTCAATAATCCGAAAGTCTTGTACCGAAGAGTTGTCGATCGGAGTAAGGAATATATCGGGCATAGAACAGAAAATTGCAGTTCAAGTTCTTACACGGCTATCCCCTTCATTTCAACTGTGACTAGATGACCCTCACGTGTAGTTTGTTTGTTGTTTTACAGCATTTTCATAGACTTTTCCTTCGTGAAACAGAAACAGGAAATCGAGGAGCAAGCGAGAATATTGAAGGAGCAGGCTAAGGCCGCTTCCTCGAAGAACGTGTGGCCGCAATTCAATAAGCCAAATTAATGATAAATCAGTTCGAGACGTTTTTCGATGCTTCTCGCGCTTAATTGTCATTCGAAATTATTACGATACGTGTAAATTATTTGGTCACGTTCCTTGTCTCGAAACGATTTTACTTTCCCTTTGTTCTTATATCATTATCGTTATTGTATGACCAATCGGATAATATTCTTCTTGCAAACGACACTTCATTTTCCATTCTATGTACTCTCTGGATATTTGTCCAGTGTTCTAGACGATATCTGAAACATATTTTTAATTAAAGAACAACGCTTAAAATTAATTTATGGTGTTCCATTTAAGAGGAAGTAGAATATTAAAAAATTCCATTTAATTCCCTTCACGATTAACGAAGACTGATTAAAGAATGGGCAGGAAATATTTCTTATACTTTTTAGACTATTTCTTTTCCATCGGACAAAAGGGCGTGACCACTGAAACGCGATTAAGCTCTCGACAAGCGTGCGATAAACCGTTTATCGATTTCAGTCACATTGTGTTGTTGCCTATTACCCATTATTTATATAGACCATATTTAGGATCGTAAAGAAATTATTTGCAGTTTATTCTAATGATTTCTCGATTTAGAATCTTGATTTAGGGTGCAGTTAACGGGACAGTTGAGAAACAGTGTTCATAGGAGCTTTGAACCTGCATAGAAACTTTGAAAAATAACAATACTATGCTTTTGCATGCTGTAGAGTAGAGTAATCAACAAATAACGGTAGTAATCGTGCGTGAAAATAAGTAGTTTTACTAATTTTTAATGCTCGTTCGATGAGACCGGTTCTCGAAAATTATAGACCGTGATCGCAACTTCGGAGACGCAACAAGTATGGTTACAAATATTTAGAAAATATTGACACGTATGTGTCAATCATTTAATTATATGATCAGAAAATACGAAACACGGATACGTAATTTTCGAGATAAAGCATCAATAATTTTATTAGTACGAACATTAGCTAAACGGTTAATGGAAAATGGCATGGAAGCGGTGCGAAAGTCGCTCTCGAACAAATAATTGGCGATATAACACTGGCTGCTGCTAACCGATCTGAACAAAATTGCGAAACAAATATCAATTAAAAATAGTCGATGTGTACACATGCGATACAATGATACAGCCTGAAGAAACCAGTCAAGTACGACCCGAGTAAAAGCGAGGCATACAAGGCTCTGCAAGAAGAAGCTCTTGGTGACACGGTGCAGGAAGTGAAGCAACCGGCGCGCACCGGTGTTTTCTCTCCACAGAAAGTCAATCAAAACAGGGTATGCTTTTAATAACCTAAATAACAATTTTTAAGAATAGTTATTGATTTTTCATATAACATTTGTCGTCGCATCTCGAACCGCATCTGCGGTTAAAATTAAACTGAATATGCTACCGATAAATGTTCGAATATATATTAATCAGGATTAAAAGACACACAGTATTATCAATGCATACGAACCTTTTGACCCACAATAAAACCGTCTATGTTATCTTCCATAGATATTGAGAAGGATAAAGCGTGATATTTTATTTCAGGTACACCACGCTCGACCGAAAAGTCCTGCCGGATCATACGTAAGTGCAAAGTTGACAAATTTTGCCTGAATATTATGACAAAGCGAACAGAAATGTGTGTATGTCGGTTGTTTGTACACGGTATCTTGAATATTTTGTTCGTCGCGCGTAATTGCATGAATTGCACGCAACGAATCTAACTTTCCACCGAACATGCTCAAATATTTTATACGATTGTGTTCTACCTAAATAGCGATTATTAATTTTTCCCATATTAAATTCGTGATAAATTAGTAATCAACGTTTAATTTCATTAAGGGTGGATTTTTAAGACGTCCCTTCCCTCTTCCTTTTATAAAGGATCGCATCAACGACTATTAAAATTTACATCAACTTGTACGTGTAATTTGTCTATGTGTGCTCGCGCCTATACCTGCTTGTATACTCTTGCCTTTTCAAACAATCAATCATCCATGATTTAGATAATTTGTTGAATTAATCGCCTAAAAAAAACTGTATAATTTTTTAAATAATTGCATAGCACTTTGTATGAAAGTAATGGAAACAATAACGAAATGTGCTAACCTTTCTCGAAAGTGTTGTCGATATTGCAGTTTCTCATAAGTATGGAATTTTATTTTAGATAAATGTTCTCGAGGACGACGGTGAGAAGATCCACCAAAGTAATAGCTTCAAGAGGATCATGTACAGTGTGCTGGGACAAACAGATTATTAATTTCTAAATTGACGTTATAAATATATTTTATTTATAATATATAATTACACACTTTTCTCTCTCTATATATATAATATAAACATATCCTTTATTTATTGTATGATAAAATAAAAATGATGAAAATATTGAAATAATAACTAAGCATTAAAAATGAAATATTCAATTGCAACGTACTACTGCTCGAAAAATAAATGAAATATTTAATACCGATGTGTGTATAACTTACAAACTTCTGTAAAGAATTTATTACCGCAAACGTTATACGCTGATCTGTACTAATAAATATACAATACCGTTACATTGTTTTGGTCCCATTGCTACGTTATCTGCTATCAAAAATTGTAGCTAATCTATCAGTTGTTATTTAATATTAAGACAATATACGCGATAAGAAAAGTAGAAAGGAAAATTGACAACTGAAAACGAGATAGTTCTGCTCACAGCGCCATTTATATGCTTACTGTGTTGACCCCAGGAGTAAGTAGACGATCTAACACTCTATGATGACGTGTATATGTCATACGGAGATGAAAGACCGGTGAAGTATTTATGGAGCTTGTGTGAAACTTGTTGGAGGAGAAAATTTATATTGCAATTAATATTTAACATAATTTAATTCTCAATAATAAGGTGTTACAATATTTTACTACAATTGTCAACATAGTCATACTAAATAAATTTCAATTTATTTTCACTAATAATTCCAATCTATCAATCTTTATTATTAAAGCATACACATATGTGTCATCGTTATTATGCATATAATAACAAGGTTGGAATAATAGTACCGCAGTTTGCATTGGACCACATTGCATCTATAATATTCTGGTAGGTTTTAAAGTATCATAATACTATTTTGTTTTGTACATACATTGAACAGGAGAAGATTGCAGTTCCAGTTGAAAATTATTTGACAAAACTGTCACTGTTACTCAAATATTTATCGATTGCGAATGTATCTAATCAAAATAGATATAATATTTTCCAATCAATGACACGGTACAATAAATATTCCATTCACAAAAATCCATCTTTCAAACGAACTGTATACAGAGAAGAATACAAATACTGTGCCTTCGCAGACTATGCAGCAACCAACGCTCACAGCTGACTCAAATAGAGTAATATTACAATATTTCTTTTCTGATCTAGACATTCACTAGTACTAGCAATTTATCTTTCACTCTTATCACTCTTTTTAAAAGGGTGAGTTTTTAGAAACCTTTCGAGGAGTAACATTACGACTCGATTTCGTTAACATCCTTTCTTATTACACTTACGAAAATCTACAGTTTCATATGCACGTTACGCAATCGAGCCTAATGCTACAACATATTTTCTTGTTTAATCTTACCAACCTACCAATCATTTAATTTTTTACAAAATATAGAGCAACGATAAAAAATTAAAGTGATTGGATGTCTTTCTGTACGACATAAGTAAACGAATAAAAAAATTGTCGTATGTCCCTCTTCGCCAGCCTCAAAAGGTTTTAATTCGAATTCCTATTTGTATAACTATCGACATATTTACGCTCTGCGTAAAATGTTGCATAAATTAAAAATAATACTTTCTTTTTAATCTTATACGATCCATAAAATTAGTTTATCGACATATTAACAAAATAAAGTACAAATATTTACGCGCAAATATTTTCATTCGATGTAAAAAGTAATTCCTGCGAAATTTACAAACCGAGTAATGAGTAAAATATGTTAGGAAGTATTATATTAATGTAATTTTCGTGTTTTTGCATATTTACAATGATAAAATATTTTTGTAAACTCAAACATACACCGGCCTCAACACGCAACTCACGTACTAACATAAATTATATATCACGTATTTAAAAAAAAAGATATAGAATCGCATTCAAACATTAAATAAGAATGAAATGCATACATTTACATAAATTACTCATTCAGCATATATGCATATGCGTTGCGGAGAAAGATTAAACGTTAGTGTACAATCATTTTATATTCGTTCATACATTTTTAACGAAATTTGCATTGAAATGAAATATTTCCGTCTGTTTTAATATCAAAAACAAAAACCATTCGAAAATCGAATAAAATAATATGGCATCGTGTAGTACAGAATAAAAAAGTCATTAAATAGGCTCGATCAAGAAAATATTTGCGCGTATAATAATTCTATAAATGAATCGGTAATGGAGAGACTATTCCAAGTTCTGATAATCTCTGCAAAGTTGCATGTAGAGCAGGACAAAAGATATGTAACAAATATAATGTGAGAAAATAAATAAAATGTGTGTTCTACATAGTGCTACGAAGGATAATTAAATATTAAAAGAATCATCGAGTAATTGTTTAAGTTCTTTAAGGTGCTGCATCTTGCTACCTGTTGCAGGTGAAGCTGCTGTTGGGCGACCAACGTATCTGAAACAAATAGAAAATTTATTAATCACCTACGAACTGTGTAACAAAAAGTAAAATCGTTTTACAACACCACACCTATAATCATGGAAATTTATAAATAAATTTAACGTTGCATAAAAATATGTTCTCCAAAGTCATGACGTATATTCTAAGTATCCAAGCTATAGACATTACTGTAATTAACATTACCTCACTGTTCTCTGTTTAGGTTTAACAGATTCTATTGACTCCGACTCGGATTTGGTTGTTGTTGTTGGTTTAGTTGATGAAAACCAACCACTAAACCACCCTCCGCTATTTTCACCCTTGCACGACGTATTTCCGCCGCTGTAACATGGCCCATGTTTTTACTTTGTTTAACACAATATATGCGCAGATATTAATTACAGTTTGTGCGTAAATATATTGAACATTTGTGACATGTTTAAATCCATCAACATTTGATTACTTGCGCTATTGACATAACTATAATGACAAAGTGAAAAACATGGGCCATGTGAACAGCTAAATATACAAACTAAATATGTGAAAAACAAGTTCAACAACGAGAAATATGGCAAATAGAAAAACATGATTTTGAGTTTTGAATTCGAGCCTGGAAATTGTGCATCTGCATCGCGTGTAATAATGAGTCAGTTGTATAATAGTTATAAGTATAAAACAAAAACGTAAGCGATATATAACACGCCAATTACAATTACAAGAATTGCAGAAAATTTACTTAAGGGTGATAATAACTATTTTGGATAGTTACTATTTTTCGATTGTTGGAATGCTCAATTTGCAACATATGCTATATTTAATACTTACGATATACAACGAGTTCCATTAAGGGCTGTATGGAACCTGGGTTGTACGTATGTCCACGCACCCTGATTTTTGTGTTCTTCTTGAGCCCATATTAGTTCTGCATTTTGATACTTAGCAGCTTCCTTCTTGACTATGTCATACGGGAAAGGTGAAATCTACGAAAAAAGGATGATATTAAACAAAAAGTTGGTTAATAAAACGAAAATCAACAAACAGGATGAAACTATTTGCAAAATCATCTACCTGCTCAACTCTCGCAATAGCGACTTTATCATCCAATTGCTTCTCCGCGCGTGCTTTCTTTAAATCATAGTAAACCTTGCCAGAACAGAAAATCACTCTCTTAACGTTATTAGGATTTTGAGCAGCTACACCTTCTTCTGGTATCACTCTAAGGAACTCCGTATCCTCCAACATCAAGTCGAAACTGGATTTTGCTTCTGGATGACGGAGCAACGATTTTGGTGTCATCAAAATCAATGGTTTTCTGAATGGTAATGCGATTTGTCTCCTTAGGATATGGAAATAATTTGCAGGTGTACTGCAATTAGCCACGATCCAATTGATGTCATGCAACTGACGTACAGCGAATTCTTCACTTTCTGGAGGGAAATAATCTGGATCATCGGCAGACATTTGCAAGAAGCGCTCTAGACGAGCACTCGAATGTTCCGGTCCCTACAAACACATTGTCATTTAATTAATTAAACAATAACAAACAATAAAAATTTAGAAGTGTTATATTTAAAATTAATTTACCATTCCTTCAAGTCCATGAGGTTGCAGCATAACAAGACCAGATTGACGCACCCATTTAGCTTGTCCACTGCTTATGAATTGATCAATTATACATTGTGCAGTATTGTTAAAATCACCAAACTGTGCTTCCCAACATACTAGTGCGTTTGGATTTGTCATAGAGTAACCTAATTCAAATCCTGAGAATTTAAAAGAAATATTTTTGTTACTTACATTTGTCAAAACGTAAATACAATGTTGCTATAGAAAATTTCATGTTACAGTACCAAGAACACCAAATTCAGATAGAGAACTGTTGCACACTGTGTACGGGGCTTGATCTGGATAAAGGTAACACAATGGTCTGTATGTAGCCTTGTCTACGGTTTGATGATGAAGTACATGATGTCTGTGTGAGAAAGTTCCTCTCTCTACATCCTGACCCGACAATCTAACGTGAATGCCTTCTTTAAGCAGAGAACCGAAAGCCATAGCTTCTCCAAGGGCCCAATCCACTGTTCGAGCTTCGATCATTTCCATACGAGATTTCAAAATACGTTCGATACCTATAAAACATTTGTCAATTTATAGAAATTATATATTATGTCATATATAATATTTTAAATCACTGATTCGTTATTTAATAACAGAATTGTTACCTTTATGAATGACAAATTCCGCCGCATTAGGAGGTGGTGAGGAGAATTTCTTTCCAATATGAATAAGCGTGTCTTCCTTGATACCGGTAGGAGATACTTTTAATGGGTCTTTTCCTTCAAAGAAACCGGACCATGGAGAATCTAACCAATCCTTATACTTAATATGCGTTTCTTGTCTAGCATTAGTATATGCTTCTTCGCAGATTTTCTCGTATTTGTCTTTGACGTCCTTTAATATAATATCGCTATAATTAGTTGAACATACATTTATTCATTAAAATATTTTTTCCCTTCTTTACCTTAACTTCTTCCGGAGTAACGACACCATCACCAATAAGGCTTTTAGCATATTTATCCAAAACTGGTGGAGTATTTCTGATCTTACGATACATTAAAGGCTGTGTAAACATGGGTTCATCGATTTCATTGTGACCATTTCGCCTATACGACACAATATCAATGACAACATCTTTATGAAAGGTTGCTCTCCATTCAGCAGCAACTTTGCAAACATGCATCACCGCCTCGGGATCATCAGAATTAACGTGGAAAATAGGTGCGTTCACTACTCTTGCAACGTCTTCATAAATAAAAATATTAAATATCATTATATCAAATATTTAAACGCAAAAATATTTATTTCAATATATGCGATTAATAACTCACCAGTGCAGTACGGGGACGATCGTGAATGTCTTGGATCAGTGGTGAATCCAATTTGATTATTCACCACAATGTGGATAGTACCATGAGTTGTATAATCGGGTAAGTCTGACAAGTGCATCGTTTCAAACACAATACCTTGTCCACAAAATGCAGCATCACCGTGCAGAAGAATAGACATGACCTATTATACGAATTTCAAAATTAAAGTTTCAAAAACATCGTATTCGTTTTTTTAATTACATAAAATATTTCATATATGCTTACTTTCTTGCCTTCGCCATCACCACGATAAAATTGTTCCGCACGAGTTTTTCCTTGTACTACTGGATCAACGGCTTCCAAATGAGATGGATTTGCAACAACGGCTAAACGAATATTCTTATTTGTTACTCGATTTAGCCGCTCAATGTAGGTACCTAAATGATATTTAACGTCGCCAGAACCCTGAATTGTAACAAGGAAATAAAATCATACGTCAATTACATGTAATGTAGAAAAAAAAAGTAAACAAAAAGCTTGGTATACTTACATCATCAGCTGCTTCAAGAGCGGCAAATTGTGTGAATATTTGACTTAAAGGTTTACGACAAACATTAGCAAGTACGTTCAACCGACCACGATGAGGCATACCCATTACAACAGACTCAACACCTAGTTCGGTAGATTTGTCGATTACTTGTTTCATGGCAGGAATCAAAATTTCAGCTCCCTCTAATCCAAATCTTTTCTCGGATGACCATTTACGCGCAAGGAATGCTTCAAATCTGAAGCAAAAATTCAATGCATAAATGTAATAGCCTTATCAAATATCTAGATTGCAAAAATTCGATATTTTATATACCCAGTAGCACGAGTTAATCTAGCCAAGATAAGTCTTCTTTCGTCGTTCGTCATCTCCATAATTCCTGGGGTCTCCATTTTTTGTCGAATCCAGTTGCATTGTTCCAAAGAATTGATGAACATAAATTCTATTCCAATGTGACCACAATAAGCAGCTTCTAATCTTCTCAAAATTTCTCGAAGGGGTAATGATTTTTCTTTACCCCCAATAAAAGTGGTGGACGGCAACTTGAACATACGATCCATGTCCGACTCCTCTGCAGAAATTAAACAATAAAATATTTATTTATTCTTCATAGAAATAGATAATAAAATATGAAAATACCAATTCCAAAATCATTGTAATGGAGAATAGTAAATTCAGATACAAATAACTTGAAACAGATGTAATCTTTATTATACTTATAATAATTATAGCATCTAGTTATACTACGAACACATAATAGTATTAAATATTTGACTAGTTATGAATAATGTATACTGCATATAATATTTTTTCTTCGTTTGTATTAATATATATTTCATTTCTTTTTTGAACTGATACTGAAAATGTAAGTTTTATACGGAGTAAAAAAACTACAAAGACTTGACACAGTGTAAAATTATACAAATAGCTGTTATATGTAATTAACTGCACTTTAAAACTGGAAGACACTTTGGATATACATTTGTCTTACGCATATTTTAATAATGTTATTTAGCACACTGCATATACATGCATAGTATCTTAAACAATCGTTAGATACTTATAAACAAACCTCCTCCATACTATATGAAAGAGCATAAATGAACGAAAAGTGAAAAAAAAAAAAAGAATTTTTAAAATAAAGCTTAAATGAAATCAACCATCAATATAAAATAATGAGAGAACTGTTTAACAGATAGAAAAATACAAAACGAAATATGAAGACATAAAAATTTAAACATTTAAATGAATGTTCACTAAACAACTAGAAAGCCAAAAGGAAAATTTAAAGAAATAAAAAAATATATACCTTATAGAGTTGTAACTATTGTTATATTATTATCTATGAACGGTAATGATAATGATATCATCTGCTTACTATACCTCCTCCAATTCTTCCAAAAGATGCTTAAGGATTATTCCTGACACAAACATATTTACAGCAAAATATAGCACTCTTTAATCAATATTTATGCAAAAAACCCAAGCACCTCTACAGTTTACCTACAATACCAATATTTACGTGATCCCATATTGAACCAGCACCTCCCTAAGATACTAACATTTCACCAGAAATTATAAACTATTCGAATTCCCATTTGAATCATAATTTTTACATACTTTTCATTAGTGCAGCTACTCGGTATTGTAGTTCCTGTGAGTAAGTAGTACGTGCTCTGTTTCCTGTGGACATCAGACTTGAACTAAATATTTAATTTAATGAACAAAATCTTTCATTCAAATTTTATTAAAACGAAACTTTAATTTTTCACATAAAGCCTTTAGTTTTTATCTTAATGACCATTAAACCACTTATTTTAGATCTATTTAAACATCTATTCATTTTAAATAGCTATTTTCGTAATTTCATTGAAACTCAAAGTGTTATTTTTTTCTGTACTTGAAATACTTTGTGTCCAGGAAAAGGATGTGGTGAATAATAATTATTAATGACAAAAATAAAAATAGTAATAGCAAATGTTATATTATAATAAAAGTCGCAATTAATGAATAATAATTTATATAAATACTCGCAAAAATATATAAAATAAATAAGAAAGATATTTAATGTTTGTTCCTAACAGTATGATTTTTAAAAAATGTCTTTAATGTATTTAAAAGTCTAGTTTAAATTACGTCGCACAGAATCATTATATTTCGAACTGATACTGAGACGCGTTCGTTTGGGCTTACCAAATGAATAATGATTATAGAGCAACTCTTGCGGATGTCTATCATCAAGATCGGCGCTGTTGATGCCAAGTGGATCCAATTTAGCAATATGATGACCACGAATCTGTCAATTTAATGCCACATTCATACGAACCAAATAGTTTTTAATTCTTCAAACTTATTAATTCAATACATATATTAAGATGTATTACTGTGATGGATGTTTATGTACTTATTTATAAATTTACTAATATCTATATTACATAAAGAAAAAAGAGAAAAAATAGTACTAAAACATTGCATCACATACATCACAGTAACTGAAAGCAAACATGTCATAAAAATTAACATTTGTTAATGTTAGTACTTTAATAATTAAAGCATGTTGTTGTTACATATATGCTTTTTGTTGTTATTATTTTTTACAAGGTTAAAGCTAAAAATATTTAATTATCTGTTACTTTATAATTCTATTGAAATATTGAATAAAACAAATACAAATGGAAACATCCTTCGACAGATAATATTATATGAACACAATATACTGTATGAATAAAATAAATAATAGGTTGTTCCAGAAACACACATTCCAAGTTTTAAACACACAGAAGCAAAGCTAAAGACACTATTTGCAAACATGCAAAGCAAAAGTTTCTAAATGTATTTTCTTACCTTGAATATCTTTATTTATACATTGAAGATATACCATAAGTGGCTAGTACATTGACTACAGAATAGCGGAATGAAAATTATATTTATAAAATTTAAATTCTCTTGATACATACATACATACATATGTACCAATATGATAATACGAATTATAAAATATAAATCATTAAATATTCCTATTCTTTCCTGAAGAAAACATTTTCAGTATCAGTAAAAATTATCATGGAATCATATTCCTCCTGGTATTCTAAATATGTAAAGCGTGTTTTTGCTTTCCATTGATTAACAAGAAATCGCGCTTGCTTAATTTTGTAAAACAAGTTGTCTTAATTATTTAAACAACATTTTACATAATGCTAAATCAACAGTTATAATAGTTTAAAAAACAAAAATTTTGAATTCAGAAAAGTGTTGAAGATTAAAGAAACTTACTTACATAATATATAAAGAATTTTAATTTCTGATTAAATTTAATCGATTTAACTTCTTTACAAATCAAAAGAGGAAAGATACAAAAAAAGATAAGAAGGGATTTATGTATATGATAAAGATCATGATATTTACATATACAGAGTGAAGTATAACATCTCATCAGATAAAAGTATGTTAAAAGAGCTTGATCAGTATGAAGTTATCAATATTCGTATGAATTTTAATAATGCACAAAAATTGAATATTATTATATATGACTATCATGTTTTCAATAGTGCTTTTGTATACCTTTACCGAATGACACACATGAAACTTAATGAAAATAGTTTAAGGAATTAGTTTGGAAAGAAGCCTTACCAAGCATGTATTGCCGCAGAACCTGTTCTGGAGACCCCTTGCGGGCTGCATAATGTGTATGTACCAGGTCTGTTTGCATGATACCCAGTGGGTCCAGATCAGCAACTAAATGACCTCGAGCCTATATGTCAATGAATAATTCCAAAAGGACCCCAATGTTTATCAATTTTTCTACATAAAAAACTACCATACATCACAACATCACAAAGATGTAACACTGTTCACAAAAATGCAATTAATAGCTTTTTTTTATACCCAACCATAAGCTTCTTCTGTATATTGGAACCTAAATGTTACAAAATTTCTTTTGTACATAAAATATTTTATCTCAAAAATAAAATTTTGCTTTCATTAACTGAACTGAAAAAAATTATTGTGACCAACCCTTAAAAAATTTTGTATTTTTGTTAAAATAATATATAAACAAATTAACAATGAACAAATATATAATTTACATTACAAATTACAGAACTCTAACACTTATTTGCAGAACATGCTTAAGGCAACAAATGCAATGTGTACAATAATGAAGGAAGATATACATGGTGTCCCAGCTGAAGTGTACTACTTGTAGACTTTAGGTTCTCCATACTAAAAAAAATCGATAAATTCTTTACCATTTTCCCGAGATATGAACGATTGCAAATTGGGTATTCCAAGTCTTATATGTATATATGCCTTAGACATAGATAATCGACATTATACTGTGTGCAGTCAAAAAAGTGTACACATTGACAAGTACATGCACAAAATAATACGAAGAACCTATAGTCTGAAAGTTATATACTTTAACTGAAATACTGTGTATAAATTTCTTAAATATGATCTGACATAATTAACTTAGGTTGAAAATATTTACTTTTTTCATGATAGTACCAGATGAAAAATTAATGATAAATTATTATTTCATGATACACATGATATCCCGTAGTGATATAGTTTCAACATCAATTTCCATGTCCTAAATTTTATAATTTTTTTTTCTTTAACGCATAAAAATAATGGACATAAATATAATTCTAACTTAAACAGAATTTAGGTCACAGAGATTGGAAAGAAACTTTTATTTAATGTCACATGCAATATGATAACAGAATCTTCCCTTCAACATAATACATACACACAATGTTTCTAGAACACATGCTATAAAGTTTCAGTATAAAATGATTATTTGAAATAAAATTTATTAAACATTCAAATAGAAAAAAGAATAATATGGAACAACCATAGATATAAAATATTACATTATGTGATCTGTTTTAATCTTAACAAAATAAAAAAGAAAAAAATAATATTTCATCTAAACATTTAATAAGCATACATAAAAAGATATGCTTAAGATTTTTATTATTTGTAAAAAACATAGTGTTTTATTAGAACATAAATGTAACTATTTCTTTATTTTACAAATAGACTGCAAAGTATTCATACCTGGTAAGAACGAATAATAGCTTGCACAGCCAGATGGTCGTCAATTATTTTCTCATTAACAGGTATTTGACTCAACTGAGACCCACCGCCAAGAGGTAACAGCGCTCCTAATGGTATCTGGTTAGGACTTGGAGCAAGAGATGGAGGAGCCTGATAAGCAAGGCCTGGTGGAGCTCCAGCAGTACTACTACGAAAAAATGAATCCCAAGACTACAACAATAAATAAAAGTAATAAAAATATGTTTTATATATTTATGTAGTTATGTATCATATAAATTTATCATATAATTTATTACTAACCACATGTACACTATGGGGGTCTTGCAACCACGCATTATACATTTCTTCTACGTAAGAACTGGAATTGCCATTGAGAAAAGGTTCTGTGGCTACACGGCTGTTGTACTTTCTGATTGATTCAGTAACCACCCCCTGTGTGGTCCTAGTCAGGGGGTGGCTCCGTACCAACCATGATGCAAACCTTTCTGGCCTGCACATGTGTGGTGCCAAAGGGGCCAACGAGCTGAATACTGTCCTTGCTTTATACATTTTTACCTACAACAAAAAATAAAATATTATATCATATATTTACTCTGTAAATAATTTTTTTTTCAAACAGGATTATATATTAAATACAAATACAAATGCCTATTCATAAACTTTTTCCTTCTAATTATGAATAATTACTTCTGCAAAATTATGCAATATTTAAAATACCCTTTATAACTTTCAAAACAATTTCATTATGAAATCTTTCTGCAAATCTAGTTAATCTATTTTTAAAAAAATATTTTTAAATTTACTTTTAATTTTAATTCTAGATGTAAGTTGCTCAATCATATAAAATGTGCCAACTCTAAAACTTAATACATGATGAAATCAATCAATCTATATATTATTTATGCTACATATAAATATGGGAAACAAATAAATATCACCTCTTTAACTACCAAATATGAAAACCAGTTAAAATACTGCAAATTTTCTAAAAATATTTCTTTAGAATATTAATCCACTAATTAGAAACTATTTAAATAATATGATTTTAATACGTAAGCATTACGATATTTTAAATATTAAAATATCAGAGGATTGCTCAAGAAGTTGGCAAACATCCAAAGTACATATACTAATATCAGGACGTATAAAAAACACATTGAATGACTGGAAATTTGTTACAAAAGAAACTTAAACATACTTCTTCGCTAAAATTAGAATAAACAAAGAATTAAAATATTCCATGACAAAATTTAAAATATACAACATAGTAATGTTAAAATACCTCCACACAAACATCTGAATAAAAAATGATATGTTAATGTCATTATAATGCAGACTAGTCTGCGCAAATAGTCTATCGTAATGAATGACTAATGTATGACTGATAAGCTAACCAGCCAGTCAAAACACATAAGGGGAATTCACGATAAATTTTCTGTGTTAATTTTCCTTGTCACTTAAGACAATATAGATAAAACATATAAATTGTATCATAATTTACAATATCAATATCTCGATGTCGTTATAAATTTACAATACATGAAATAATTGCGATATGTTGTTGTGTAATTTAATTTAAAAGTAACACAAAAACGTTCGTGTTAATTACGATATATATATATGATAACAAATTATCAATTATTACAACATGTTTCAAGCAGTCACTGACATATCTGTTGGGAACTACAAAAATTTCTATAAAACCCTATGAAGTAAATAATAGTAATTATTTTAATGCGTATTAAAAAGTTGACCTAATTTTCACTAACCTTTTCCGCATTACGGATTTCATAAAAACGGAATATGAATCATATAAGCTTATACCTTTAAAGGTATATCTGAAATAATTTCGTGAAAGATTTTGTATATGGAAATAATAAAAAAAAGCCTACTGAAATAAATTATAAATTTTTGAAACACTAAAATAAGTAACAATGTCAATGAGACAGTGTCAGAATCATGTGACATTTGTCCGAAAATTGTGTTTAAACGTCAGTTCTCATGCATTTACCTATTTACACGACATACAAACAAATTTAAAATATCAAATAAATATCAAATAATTGTAATGATTTCACAATTGCATGTAAGCGCACATGTGTGTAGAAATATAATTTCCAGTCATATAAAACCAAAATATAGATATTTTATTATATCGCGAAAGATGTTTCAATATTTTGGAAGAATACCAATATACGAAAAGTTTTCAAATTTACAAAGATTTTAACTTTTCTAAAAATACAGAAAAGACAATTGCATTTATTGAGTCAGGTGACTATTTTTGTCTGGTGCAACAATTTTACGTAATCGGAAGCATTTCGTCAAATAAAAATAATACTTGTTATTAAAACTGGTTTTTTTAGACATCAACTAATAATTATTCATAGGAATACTAATTAATTTTTCGATATCTCATGAATAAAAATTAAGTATGAAAGAAGAAGAAATTTTCGTACCTGATGTTAACACGACAATGACAGGCCGTCCACCATTTACAACTCCAAGTAGACTGAACTACGTCTTCTTTAAAATACATTCGAGGAACAGACATCAGCGCACCTAACGTCAAAATATTGCAAATCAGTGACATAACAATTCAATTTAACGGGTGTTACATTCTTTAGCTTTTCTTTCTATTAATTATTTTTATTATTATCTAATTTTTTTACTTACTACACGTAAATGTAGCTTTTATTAAATTGTACCTTATTTTATGGTCATCTGTTTTCGAAAGAAGTCTTATTTTCGATTTGTTTAGAAGTAGTTTTCATTTCTACCTAATGCAAAATGCTTCATGGTTAACTTTTAAAATTTCAAAATACTCTTTGGAAACTTTAAATATAATATTCGGATTCGTACTTTTTAGTAATATGCTTGCATAAATTTTCTTAAAATTTATATTATATAAAACTTATGTTTACGATAATGATTTATATGAAACAATTTCATGAAAATTTGAAAAGAAGTTAAGAAACATGTTCATGATGATAATATTGATTATAGAAAATTTTACTTTAGGGCACAAGAAAGTTATTAGTTATTGTTTGTATAAAATAATGTCTGATGCTTTGAAATAAAGTTTAATTCGATATTCTTTTGATGAAAGAAGAACGGTTCAGAAACAAAACATGTACGAGTAAAAATGTAATCGCTAAATAATAAACATATAACCTGCGATTTCTTGTTTTGTGAATTTTTATAGATTTTTTAGTCTTATATTATTATAAATTTCTTTTATTCGTTTCACAATTCTCAACTTTTATTATTAATTTTACTTATGACGATTATTTCAAATCGAGATATAAATATTAATCAATGGAAACAAGAACATGGATGTTAGTCGTAAAAAGAAACATTATACAGGTACTAATATGTATATTTACTAATTTTTAATAATTTATACTTTACACATATAGTAACAAGCTAGCTGTTTACATAGTTACTCATACAGTAAATATTTAAATACTTTATATCATAACATATTTGGCATATTATTTAGCTTTTACAATTGTTTTTATCTCTAATAAATCTAATGGCAATTTAATTACATTCTGTTTAAATTTTGTTAGATTTGAGAAATGTAAAGCAATGGTTACATTCTACAAAAACAAGATGTGATTCTTTAAAATCTCACATGGAATATATGAAAATGTTATATCATGATATTCCACAAATAGAAAAAACTGATAAAACAGTAGATAATCAGGACTTTCAGAATGTCAAGACAGAGATTTCTGACAATGAAATTACAGTTTCAAAACAGATGGACATTAACGATGTCTCAGAAGAGTTTCGTGATGTTTCATGTATTTCTACAAATGATGATGGTACAATGATATATTTAATATCACTTATTATTCTATGTTCTTTTGCTACAAGCTAATTAAAATGAATCTATGAGTATGTTATATTGCAGATAATAATCAGAAGCATGAATCATGTTCAAGTTCCAATTTAAAAAACATAATATCAAAAATTAATGTGCAGTATAAACAAGACGAGAACGTAAAAAGTTCAAACTTACAAAAGGAAACAGAAGTTGACTTATATGCAGATTTACCTACAACCTATGATGTACCTCATAACGTACAAATTGAATCAAGACCATTGTCACCAATTCCCAAAGAAAATATGGTAGTAAACATTGTATTTATATATGTTGAATATGTTTAATGTATGCTCTGAAAGCAATATCCTTCGTAATTATACTTGCAAAAATATTATTGACAGTATAGAGAGCAAAATCATATTTTGCATTGTCCGTATCAAAAGGATTTAGCACAGCATTCTACGAAATTAGTGGAAGATGTTAGTAACTCGAAAAAATTATTTGAACAACTAATTTTGGATACACAGAATGAACACTTACTTCAAGAATTATCTTCTGCAAGAAATAATTTTAAATTAAATATTTCCGGAAGCGTGAAAGACGGGTCTTTAGGTAGAAATAAAATTTCCTCAAAAATTGAGAAGAACAGTAAATCAATTCCTTCTGCAGTATCAAGTAAAAAAGGTTCCTCGTGTAAGTTAGACAATATTGTTTCGTTAAAACTTAAAAAGCGGAGAAGAAAAATACATTGCTCTAATTCCAAAAGTACTGTGACCACAAGAGATACTAATTTTCTAGGAAGAAAAGATGCAAAAAGGCGTAAACAGAAAAGTATGCTCTAAAAATAGACATTTAAGAATTTTATACTGATTTTTGTTTTTATTTTAGATAATACGAATAATAATCATTCAGGCAAATCTCAGCAGACTTCTAATGATGTAGTAGAAATTTACCATAATAGAGCAGCCACGGGTGGTAGCACTTGTGTTATTTCTAAAAAACATTCTAAACTTAATCGTCACATGAACTATATTAACGTATTATCCTCAGTTACAAACGAACAAAAAAGTCTGAATGTGAAACCAAGATATGAAGATGGTGACTATCAATGCAATTATAATATTGATGAAAATAGTCAGAAAAATAATTCTCAGAAACAATATATATCTAAAGCTGAAAAGGAGTAAGCTTTTACAATGATAATTATAAATGTAATAAATTTATATGTTTTATGAATATTTTTACTTTTAGAGACAGAACAAATATTTCAGATAGAAATTGTGATCTTGAAGTTTCAATGACTCCGTCGTATGCTATGGAAAAATGCAATTTACATCAATATGAGCATTCAGCTTTGCAAGCATCATATTGTGGTCCGTTAATTACACATAATTATGAAATGCCAACATTGGCTTCAAAATTAAAAAGAGCAAATCGCTCATATTTTAGCAGATTCAATTTCAGAAATATACCCTTTGTAGTTGGTACATCTGTTACTCCGAGTCATAATTTAGGTTTAAATATTCAACAAGTATGTTCCAAAATATAATAAGAATAAACAATACATTGCTACAATCATTCTTCCTATTTGAAAGGTTTTAAGTATAATGAAAACAAAGCAACCTACAATAAATGGAATCACTCCACTTCTTATTCGTAAAGTTAGCAAGGGCATGAAACCTGTATCTACGCTAATGGAGCAAATGAATGAATACAGTAAATTATCTCGCATAAATTCTCACGTAAATAGTATACATATGCAAAATAAAAGTTTATTTATAAATCGAGATAACAATTTCTTGGAAAATGAAAGTGTATCTTCAAAATATGATAAAAAGAGATTAAATGCAAATTTAAAATCACCTATAAAAGAATATCAAAATATACGAGAAATGATTAAAGGATATGCAAATATGTACGAAAATTATCATAAAAGAAAGGTATATTTTAAACAAAAATATACTGCTAAACGTGTTTTTGGCTTTCACACGTAATAAAAGTTTATTACTTTCAGGATACTAAATCAGAAAATCAATTAAATACAATCAGTAGCACGCAAATATTGCAAACTACAGATAATGCTAAAATATTAAAACTATTTGCATCCCAACAGAATATAAAGTTAGAAGTAAGTATTCTGGTAATGCAAGCAATACTTTATTACATAATGTGTTATAAAAGATTAAATTGCTAAAAAAATTACAGAAAAATGTACAAGATAAGCAAGCTTGTAACGCTTTGTCAGATGACTGTAACAGTTCAAAAGGAATACGAGAAGTTTTAATTCATCTTCATGATCAGTTTGAAGAACTGAATATGTGAGTTATATCAATTATTACCTTCGGTACTCTTATGATACTTACTTATTAATTTGTTAGAAAATATGAAAAATTGCAAGCTAAGACAAAAGGATCTAACAATAAAGAACTAGAAGAAGAGATAGTAAGTCTTGAGAAAGAATTGAATACCAAAGAAGATGAGATAAATGCTGTAATCAATTTATATAAAGAAGTAAAATGACCTTAATACTTTAAATTAAATTATACATGATAAAGTCTATAAATCTATAATGTAACTATATATTAGGATTGTCTTTTTTTTGTCGTTATTAGGTAATGGTGTTGAAACGTCAAATGAAATTACTGCAGGAAAAAAATAGTTACATTTGTATATCAAGTGAAATCCCGCTTCAGTCAAAGAAAACACATTCGACTATGCCGTTTACGTTAACTAAATCGGATGGAATAAACGACCGTCAAAAATTTTATCACAAACGAGGAAGTAGCGTTATTTCAACGAGAGAACCAACTTCAATACGATTAGCGGGACTTTTACGACAAATTCAAACGTTTCAGAGACAATTAAAACTATCGTCGTAATGAAATATCATGTCTTCAAATCTAATTCAAAATAACTGGAAGGTAACATGTACATTACTATCGCATATGATCAGCATGAGTGTAGCTCAAAATTTTATAAAATTAGGAAATACAAAATATGAGGTAAATAAAAGTTGTAATGTCTTATTCAATGTATACTTCCATAGCAAAAGTATTTTCCATACTGTATTTTGTGATATTTGCGATTCAAAAAAGAACATAATCAGAACTTGAATTACAAATGCCTGGGAATTTCATTAGGATTATTTTCTGTAATAAACACAATATTTTTAATGGATCATACTCTCTTTTTTTATTCGATTCTGCGTGCTACTTCTTATAATAATAATTTGTATGTGTGTATGATTTTACATATTTTAAGTATGCAACTGATGGTACCTATACGTACTGTGTACATGTATGCACATAACCACATGTTTATAAACGCCGGAAACAATTAAAATTTTACTGTACATAAATTATTTTCCATTTCTTTGTTACTGCCAGTTTGTATGTATCTATATTTAATATGCATATATACGAACATAAACTTACCGTAATGTATCAATGTATACTTCTCTTTTTTTTTTTTTAATTTTAACAGTACTGTCTAGTCTAGATACAATAGAAGAAATCATGGTCGATCTAATATATAATATAGTGGAGGCCTACATATTCTTGAACGAATTAAAATATGATTACTCTTAATCGTAGTTCATTCTCAAATAGATACGGATTTTGAAATTCATAGTGGCAAAAACATTTTTCTCTTAAGCAACTACACAGAATCACGCGTTTCCCTTTTATACTCGCAAAGATACGTTATTTTCTACAATCTACAAAATGTATCTCGAATAACGTTAATATAAATTGTTACTTTAACTCTAAACCAGTATCCATTTTATCATTGATCATTATCCGCACGCACAAAATTCGTAAAAATAAAATACTTCTGATAATAAATATGAAATGAATCCTTTTTCAGCAACAGTTTTGTAAAAATATGACAAAAATATAATTGGACTAATTTCACGAAAGGAAATTGACAACATATCTTTTTATTGCTTTCGGTTTACTAAGAATTTCTAGATTTGTATAAAATTTAATGTTTAAATAAATACCAAATTCTTTGAAATTATCTATTTCAGCTTACTTTCTTTCGTATTATTAAGATATATCGCAACTTGAATTACCAATATTTTTAGCATCCTTTAAATGGTTCATTCATGTTCATTGCTTTCTGTAGAGCAAAAAAGGCAAAAAATTAGGAATCAAATGTTTCTCACACACATTCTCCCATATTAACGCAAGCAGCATATATATCTTTCATGTTATATCACAGACTAAAAAATGCTTTGGTCTAAAAAATCGTACCTTTTTTCTTTCGCGTAATCTAATTTAGTAGATACCGTTGATAATGAATTTCAAACGTATCAATGTGAAATTAAAATATTTAAATAAACTGATTTCTTCGTGCGAGTGTGTGAAATGTAGATAAGCGCAGCAGATTTTGGGGTCGTTTCAATTTTGATTCAATAACTAAACAAACATTAGACCATAGTGTGTGAACAAGAAATCAATTATATAAAAGTATATGTACAATTTTCGACACGATTTTATAAACAGTTTTGAAGATTTTTACGTTGGTCGATACAACTTACGATAAATTTTGTACGATACAGAATTTTAATACATATACATTTTATATGTTTCTTTCATAATCCTTGAGCCATATTATAGTTTAAGCATTGCAAGATTATAAAAAAAAAGAACTGAAAAAAGAGCCCCTTTAGCGCACTTCCATAATAATAACATTCACAAAGCATTTCTTTCACTTGACATGCTTTAAAACTGAAAATTGTAGCACCCTCGATTGAAACACTTCATCAAGTTAAATTTCAAGGCTACCATTTATACATACATATACTCTAAACTTACATTGCGTCAGACTAGTCGCCTTAAAATTTTACTCGTCAAGTATAAAACGCAAAAATCAACGAGCTTTTAATGAATATGTTTAATACGCTGTAAGACTGTAACAGTTTATAGTACTCTACAATTATAACATGTGATATCTCTTACAAGGTACTTACATTACAAATATAACCCCACAGATTCGTTCTTTACTCTCAACATTCAATTTGGTAATAATTCTTAAATAATAAATTGAATGTATTAATTTTATTTGAAATAATATACAATCTAGGGTATCCGTTTCTTCTATTAACGATTCACTGATATATCAATTTCCAGAAAAATCGTGTCATATTATTGTGAAAGAAAGTAGTACGACAGTGTATTTAGAGTAGTATAAATAAACACACCATATATTCAACTCTGTTCACAATGAGACATAATATATATGTGTTTATTACATTTGTCTGAATGATCAGACTTTTGTTCATTTATGATTTTAATTTGTAATTGTTCCTTATTCACGAGTGTCTTGTTTGTTTGTTTCGATTACGATTTGCTCACCCGATTCGTAGGAAGAAATGTGGATATAATTTTTTCAGCAACAACTTTTTCCGATTTCTATGTTGTTCTCTGTTTAGCACTTCATCAAACACAGAGAAATACACAAACGTAGAAAAATATTTAAAAATCGATGCGCTTACAATATAACGTAAATATGTATAATTACTGCAAAGTAGGAAGAAGTAAATTTTCAAAATTTCTATTATAAAATGACGGAATGTTCCATGACATTGGTAAAAATACGTAGAAAATTCGATGGATTAAATTAGTGGCATTACTTACTCACTGTTTAATTTTGTTACATAAAATTTTTCGTAAAAACAGACATATATTTGCAGTAGTGTGTTGAATCCTATCAAATTAAAGTTTTCTTTTTGTCGTAGTTTAAAGATGTCACTGAGTATTTTGAAGAAAGTAAAGTGCAAATCGACAGATTGCTTTCATATTTGTAACGTCATAGCCATAGCCACTGTTATGTTCTAACTATAAGTGCTTAAAGGTCAAAGTGTTACTTTGGTGTAGTAATCTTATTCTTTATTATCATACGATATCACTCGATGAAAATTTGTGTGTTCGTAAGTCATCGAAATGACAAATTTTGTCAAAATGATGTCGTTAATTATGATAGTCGAAATCGTTCCTTGAAATTTTTCAGTAATCGTATTTAGTGGAATTGTAAGAAAATTGACTGATTTTTTAAACATATTTCTGTTAATTAGATACCTTTACCTGCAGATAAACACACATGCCATTATTGTTGACACAGGTACGATTTCGATAAATGCTGTAGCTATAAGTGTTCGTTTGCTTCTTCTCTTAAAACGTTTTGATTCTTGAATTAATTCAAATTATCGTATGTATATATTACATTCTCTGTTTCCGTAAATGAAACGCTCAAACATTCTTTCTTATTGCACAACAGTATTAGTTACAATTGCAAGAATACAATATAATTTATCGATTGTATAATATAATCACTGTGCATATTTCACACGTTTCAGGATGTTGAAGCTTCTTTGTGTCGTTACCGTGGTTGCATATTAGATTTTACACCAATTAGATACTGCGTCAAGCATTTTTGGCCACAAGAGCATCAATCAGTCTAAGCTTTGCTTTAGCCTGTTTATACGATTCGTAAACTGTATTGACCTGTGGACCACGATCTTCTCTTTGCATTCTGCGACCAGCTCGAGCTTCAAATTGTGCTTCTAATTCTTTTAAAGCTCGACGTAGACGTTTCTTCTCTTCTCTGGTTAATTTCTGTTGCACCAATAATTCCTCTCTGCGATTGAATTCAATTATTTAATTAAACGTTTACAAATACAAGAGATAATAATAAATAAAAACATGGACCAGCATGTTTTAAAAACACTCACTGTGGAAGTGCATGAAGACTTTCATTGTTACTGCGACTTCCTTCGCTACTGCTGTGTTGACTATCACTGTCGGTTGGTAATTGGTCTACCGAATCTATACAATCCAAAATACCTCTATGCGACATATCCGGTTCGCTCGCCCTTCTTTCTGTGTCAGACGGATTACCAGGTAAATTGGACGACGTAAAGTCCATCGCTTCGTGTTCCAAAATAGTAGCTAATTCTGAAATACTATCCTTATTTTTGTTCTGTAAAAAGAAAAGAGAGTGATAAATATGAAAAGAAAAATGATAAATCATTATATTAAGTTTGAATTATTATAATGTTTACCACTCCAGCTCTAATAAGTAATCTTTTTAAAGTTCTATATCTATCGTATAAAGGTCGCACAACAGCTCTATCTTCTTTCGAAACTGGTCTGCCGAAAGTATTCTCGATATGAAGCAAAGCCTTCTGAACTGCAGTTTTTTCATCCATTAACTGTTCGTAAGTAAGTTCTTCCATGTTGTCTGGTCTGTTGTACTTTAATCTCTTCTCGCTAAGTTTCTTTTCCACTTCTTTCACCATTTCCTCCATCGACGTAGCTCTGGACTTTTCCTGACTATTATTATTATTCGTTGGACTACCGTTACTCGTCCTGCTGTTATTTGCATTGGCTAACAATGCGCTAACTGGATCTTCCTTTAACAGCTTATGTTCCTTTCGCAACTTACTCAACTCTGTACACAATCTTTTTATATCCCTATTGCTCATCTTATCAGAATGACTTGGACGATAACCAAAGTTTTCCTCGAATTCATCTTCGTATTTTTTGATCTTTTTCTTCAAACCGTTTATATGTTTTGTTAAGTTCTTCAAGCTAAGTTCCGCGATATTCGGAGTACTTGGTTGTATTTCATTTTCAGAATAAAAACGTCTAGGTAACAATAGAGAATTTCTTGGAGAGAGCATAGCTTCGACTCGAGAGTCTGCAACTTCGTCCTACAAAACAAGAATGAACATATAATACGTCCAACAATTGTTCTTAAGAAATTGTAGGCAGCCAGGTTATCAGTGAAGATTTGATATATGCTATTGTTGCTTACACTTTCTTGTCGTAGGAAAGACCAATTAGTTAAACTAGGATTATTTAAATCTTCGTGATCAACAGTGGGTGGACGAGCGGGTGAAGGTGATCGACTAGGTCCACTGCTCAACATTTCCAAAAAACTTTGAGCTGGAGAACCGTTGCGGCTATTAGGACTCGATGAAATAGTGTAAATGTTGTCAGGTCCTTCTTCATTTTCCTAGTGACAGATTCGCAATCGACATATAAACTACACGCATATACTTTTAAACTCGATCGTCTCCGAATATCAAACAAAAGAAAATTTACTTTGCTCGAACTTTCAGCGTCCGCAGTCTTATGTACTCTTCTTCTTCGAGCTTGTCTTCTTCCTCTTGGCGTGATACTTCGACTGAAGCGTTCGCTGGTTCGAAGTTTTTCAGCATCGAATTCAAATTTCTCGGTTTCCAGAGCCGTTTCGCAAGATGATGGAACCGGTGGAATTTTTTTCGATACAGGCGAAACATTTGTTCTTTCGTGCAGAGGAAGACCTCCGCATCTCTGTAAAGAAAGGAGGCAAAAAGTCATCGGTGAAGTATTTTCTACGCAAGACCCAGGTAAAAAAAAAAAGCATAATCTTATAGACGACACTTACCACTCCGTGACCCATTTCTTGTCCGAGCTGAGACAAAACGTGTAAATGTTCTTCGCTATTAAAATCCTCGTGACTGCTCACACGTCTAATCGTGTCCGCAGTTTCTGTTGGACTTTCAAGAACGCGTTCTTCGCTGCTACTTCTACGAATAAATTTAATTTGTGTATATTTAATATCTATAGTTATATATTCGTTTTGTTCCCCTTATTGAAAGTACCTTATTAGCTTTCGTTCTTGACAACAGGACTCACGACGTTCCTTGCGTTTACGCGGTTTCAGCGCGCAAAGCAGAGACGCAGCTTCAGAATCTTTCGGTTCCTCCTTTTCGTCCTTGCAAATTTTACAGTCACTGGCAGGAATCACGCCGTTCACCACGTTATCACGGATGCTGCAATCAAACAAAAAAATATTGACAAACTTGTTCAAACTTTTCGGATCGAATTGATATTATTTGAACAATAATTTATAAATGACGCGTTAATTAATTATCCCCGACGAAGAATCCTGTAACTGAATGTTGCAACTAAAAGGAAAGAAAATAAGAAAAGAAAGCAATAATTAAACCCGCCAAGATTACATAGAACACGATGAAAATTTATTATCATACGATAAGTGATTTATCGATTAAAATGTGGGTTAACATTGTTTTCGGATGTACATGAATGTAGAGCCGCTACTAAAGATTTGTCGAACAGGTAAAAATCAACATTATTTTCAACATTGTTGGATAACAATTACACGCTGTGTTCAATAGTTTGAAAATTTGAATGTATCCGAAGTCCAGGGTATAAATGGTTGGATCATAGAACGCTAACTATGCTATTGCAGAAAAGGATTAGCCCCCATGTTTTATGCGGTATCGAGGAACACGATGTACTATGTACGATCTAGCGAAGAAACTGCAGAGCGTAAATACTTTCGCGGTGAGTCATCGGTCCTCGTGATACTATTTCTTTCCGTAAGAACAGTCTCATCAAAACGAAATCGTTCGTACTAATTTTCTATCCTTGTCCTATTTTAAGTAATAAAATATACTTATTTGCCAATCCGCTTTTCTAAATTTTAAGCCATTTCGGTAAATATTACTTTTTTAATATACAAGCGTTGCGTTCAAGAATCAAAACGAAAATTAATACGACGTACGTTGGAATTGATTCAATAAAATACGCGCTTCCTAACGTATGAATGACGTAACTTATTTTATGAATGAATTATGACGTTATTCATATATCGTAGGTACATATTATGTACTTCTCATTTGCCATTTTCTCTCCGTCGAGAGCGATTGTAAAATTCCACAAATACACCATCGAAGGACACGCGCGAAGAGAATTTCGAAAGGAAAAAAGAAGAATCTGCGAGATAAGCAACGATGACGCTAACATCGGAGCGTTATAAAGTTTTAATTGATAATAAAAGAATCGAAGCAAAACAACTGACAGATTAACGGACACGAGATATTGCTATCGAGTACAATTAACACCGATAGAAAATTAATGGTTGCAAGTTCCGGCAATATTAATTGTAGATACATATGTAAATATTTATAGCTCGATACGTGTGAACGAACGCGAGAAGCAAATGCAATCGCGATAACGTGTTGGTTATGGAACGGAATTAAAATTGACTAAATGTCAATTGTGTAATTTCACGGGTTACTTCATCATCATCATCATCTTCTGATTACATAAAGCGATATAACAAACGCTTCGATCGCTATTTTCCGTAACGAAATATAACTTGCAGCCTGTGATGTTTATTTATTTTATAACCCTTCGTTATTATGCAATATAATTGCGAATAAAATAAAATATGGAAACTAACAACTAAAATCAATTTTTCCTCAAATATAACGACAGACGTTTAATAAAGGTGAAGGTTACGAATATCATTTGTCGCATCAGACCACTTTCACGAACTAGATTTTATTTCCAGGTTACGAAGTATAATTTTCTTTTACGATTTCTAGGATTTACCGAAGGTGAATATGCAACAAGTTCATGTAAACATAGAATTGCCTTAATAATAGAGACAAGACACAAAAGTCCTTTTATCTATTCTTCGTCCTTACGGTTCTTTATAATATTCCATTAAAATGATCACGTGTTTACCCAGGTTAAATTTATCGTAGGAACGATTATTGGGCAAATTTTTAAGTGCAACTCGAGCGACATGCGTTTCCAACAGAATGAAAAGGGTAGCCGGGTTTAATCGATCGACCTTTAATGGAAATGCCTTTGAGAACGCTAAGCGTAAGGTAGGTCACGGTATTACGCGTCTTATCTGCGAACCTTTTCGAATCTTTTATGACTACGTTACAGTCGAAACAGTTAAAATAAGGCAAGAGAAGTTGATGACTCCGAAGTTGATGGAACTGAAGGCATGTCCGCAAATAACTTAATACGTAGTACATTTTTATTTATTTAAATTGCCTTCAAGTTATTAATATTAACTTATTAATAATCCAATGCGTTTTAAATAAAAACTTTTCAAATAAATTTGACTCGGTGAATTTTCTAGTTTAGCAAGTTACAATAACAATACGTAGAATTTTTAACTAAAATCTTTTCATGCTTTTTTACAAGAAATTGCGAATTTTTAACAGACGATGCATAAATGATTGACGAGAACGTGACGAATTTGCATAGAAGTGCTGATATACGTATCTTGCAGTTGTTTCATCGATTAGTAATCGAATCAATACACGCTGTAACATCTGTGCTACTCGGTAATAATGATTCGATTATTTATTGACCAAGAACTTTTTAATCGTAACGAACGTCTTCGTCGTTACAGCATAAGAAAATAGAAATTGAAGAAAATACGGATTCTTACAAAATGTTAGGCATCGATTACCGCTCTATCATTATGTAACTTGTTTTTCTGATTTTCGGCCATTTCCGGTAAATCGAATTACCACGAACATTAGTATCCCATTGAGTTTGCAGCAAAAACACGGTAACAAGATTCGGTTGCATAATTTACCACTAAAGGGATAATAAAAAGTAATCGGTATTACATCTAGATTTGATATACTTGTACGTCAGTTTTAGTAATATTTAAATTGTCTATTTCCCTTGTAAAGCACATGTTTATTTGAAAAGTTTGTTTAATCGAATTACGACCGAGGTATACGATCTTCGCACGAACTTTCATGTATATTACTGATACTCCACGGTTGTAACCAAAAGCAGACGATTTTCTGGTCAATCTTCGCATTGGCAACTCGAACAATATTTCATTCACGATAATAGAACGATCTGTGCACGAGCTGCATACTATTTAAAAAAGAAAATTTATCATGGATTTAAAAGTAGAAATCTCATAAATGAATCCTTCTTGTAAATGCTTAATCATTACTTTGCCCGATACTTAAATCTGCGAGTTAATCCTACGATAAAAAGTAAGTCAGCTGAATAAACAAAGATTTACAATATAAAAGCATGAGAGATTAGAGAAAAATGCGATAAAATAGGAAAGTATTGTTCGTAAAAGAAGCATTAGAAACTTACTATAAGCGAATCCCTATAGACGTAGTATTGGCTCATGTAATCACGAACACCAACTTTCTTTTCCAATGGCGGACCACCGGCGCGAACACGAGTCTTTCGGTGATTCGATGGAACATTTATGGTCACCTTAAGTTCGTGAGCCTTGACGAGACGTCCGTTCGAAAAGTTTATTCGTCAACGAAAGAACGCCGCACTCTTCGAGCGAGAACGCGTGTTGTCGTCGAGGAGGAACGAGAGGTAGACGTCGTACCTCAGTCAACGAACACGCGCGTACATGGAAAAGTCGAGCGAATAACGGCGTTAACGCGTACGAGATCGTTTGGTCGGGGCGAAAGCAAGAAAATTTGGTCGTGCCGGCTTGTTCGCGTTACCACGCGCGTATCGATGTAGATACGACAAACGCGATTCACGATCAGAAAGTAGGAGCAACGCGGCGCGGACCAAGTCAGAAATCGGACTACGTTCGGTGCCGGTTCGAGCTCGGTCTATATTCTGACGCTGCAACTGACACCGATCTTGCTGTGACGATGCCAGCCTAGTGCTCCTCCGCGTATTCTGTGGCCCTCGCCCGTCGCCCGTCACCCGTACTCCGTAGTGCACGTGACAAGCTCGAGGAAACGATCGAATGGGAGGAAGCCCGACAACCAGAACCCTTTCTCTCCTTCTCCATACCTATGGAGTTTCGTGCAATTAACGTTTGCGAACGTTTTCGTCGTTCCTTCGAAAACGAATAAAATCTTATTTTTTTCCTTAATAATCCTTCTTTTTCTAAACCGAAAAAGTCTTCAAAGATTCTCTTACATACATTGCCACGTCTACGACGGTCTTTCATTTATTAGGAATTTTTGCATGTCACTAAATAAGGAAAATCTGTATTTTGTTCGTAACTGCCACCCCCTTACGCCCGATTATTAAGATACAGGGTACAAACTTGGTATGCGATCTTGCTTTCTGATAAGTTATCGAACGGTAAATTATAAGGTAAAATCGATTTAAAGGCACTTTTCAACGTCTTATCCTGCTTATACTCTTTAATCAGGAACGTTCTCTGAATCTACACAGTTTCGCGCAGTTATATTTATGAACGTTCTTTCGGTAAACTACGCTCACATGATAAGTTTTAATTGATCGAACGGAAGTTTAAAAACTCTTTCTCTCGTTCTCGAGGCTTAAACGGTTTCGATCGTTTTCACGATTCTGACGTACTAATAAACTTCTACAAAACGTCTAATACGCGCTTTTCGCGTAATTCTAAGAACGAGTTCTTCGATGCTTCGAATCTAAAATCATTTTCTCTCGCTTCGAAAATTTATCGAGATGCTTCTACGCGATGAACTGAAAATTAACAATTGGAAAAGTTTTCGTCTCGTCCTAGAAACTTATGAAATTTCATGTAGTTATATATGAATAGACAAGACAATTATCTTGACAATCCGCGAACGTGCTGCTTACGAGCTGCATCCACGTGGCAAGCTCGAATGGATCGAAGAAAAAAAATTCCTTTCTCCTATTCTCGAGACCCATGGAAATTCACGCGACCGCATACACTTCTTTGACTGCAATCGATATAAGATTGCAAAATTCCGCTGGCTACGCGTTATACGTTCTTTTTATCGTAAATCGATAGTGTATGCATGTGTGTGCGAAAGAGAGAGAGAGAGGGAGAGAGAGAGGCAAGAGAAGAGAAACGAACACAGTATACAGGTTTGCAATCGCTTGATAAGAGGCAGAGGAACCATGCGTGCTTTTCTATATGCCGCATCGGAAGAAACAAATATCTCAAAACCGGTTCGGAACTTGTTCTCGCTACCAACAAACTTCACGGTTAACACGCTCGCTGATTTTACTAAAGTGTGCGCGTTTAAAAACAGACTCA